CAAGGCTTGTTAATCATGACACAACCGTCTTCCAACCAAAACATAGCCTACACACCAAGTTGTGTAAGCCGCTATTGTTGGAATATTTCCTGCTCATTAGAAATACCCCTGACATCTTGATGGTTGGGGAGGCCACGACACTTTTGCCACTCAAGAATAGTGGGTATTCACCCATCCACCCCATCCTCCACGACCACATCCAAAAAATAGGCATACTGCAAGGGGTGGTCTACCTACCCTGGCCACAATTCATCACAGATATTGCATATGCAGATTCGCGTATATCTCCCTATAAACTAACCTATTCTCAAGGCTAAGGCTCACAACCACCTCAACTATTTCTAGAACAAACTAATAAATGTTCCTTCTCCATTGCACAAGACCCTTTAGCTCGAAATGCCCTAAAACATCATCAAAACTAAGGTTGTTTCTCAAGGTCTACTAAATTCGTTCTTTCCGAAGCCTTAGAATTTTGGCAACCTATTATGAAAACACAAATTTAGTATCATTCAGTTGAAAATTGCATTTGCAATTGATTTGTATCATTAGATTCTTATAATCATCTATTTAGTTTATAATGAGACCCCCGGCTTGAACACAATCAAGCCCTCATGTGCCGGGCCTTGCATGGTAGCCGAGCATACAGAGCGATGTGATAATGCCCGAACCTTGCCTGATACATGCGCATATTGCAAATCCCCTAAGGTGCTCTACTAAATCAACGTTCAGTAGTACAAGTGCCCCCTGCCATCTCACTCCCCACATTCGCACCCCCTTGCAACACTTCCGGCTTATGTCAAGTTAGTGCGTTCCCTTGAGGTGGCTCCCACGAGCGAAACCCCATGGTAAGGTTGAGGGCAACCCCCCCTTTTATGGACTTTGATACGTAAAGCGTGTGGGTGTGGGGTTCCTGCCCTCTTTGAGCCGCGGACCCGCCTTGCCGGGCACCTAGGTCCTTACGGGGACCTAGGCGGGACCACCTCTCCTACTCCCGTATCCTAATACCTAGAGCAGTTACCGTGGGTTGAGGATAGGTATCTTGGGCAGGGCGTCCCCCACACCAAGGGCCATTAGTAGGGCGTCCCCCACATCAGGCCGGTGCGCGTAACAGACTTGCCCACTGGCTTTTCTCAAAAAGGCCTTCCCCATTATGGAAATGCATTTGGCGCTCCCCGTCCATGGCCCCCGCTTCCATTTTCAGGGGGTGCTCTCCCTCAAGCACCTCTCCAAGAGTGTGCTGCCTGAGCAGATTGGGAACTCTACCCCCTGCCTCCTCATCCCCCCGGCCACCTCCAAACAATCTTCTTGGGATTGTCTTCACTACCGCGCAGCTGCCCATGGCTTGCCATGAGTTGAATTGCCTGGTCAATGGGTATTGCTCTGGTCTATTGACACAAGGCCTTTTGGCAGGTGGCTCTGGTACATTGGGGTTGGTCACTAGATATTTGTGTGGCATTTTGGCCAGTCAGTAGGTAGGTGGTTGGCTGGCATCGAGTGCGGGCCTCACGGGTCATGGTGCTTTCTGTGCTTTCCACACAATGGGTGAATAGCTGGATAAGATTATGTGGTAGTTGTCCCCTTGTTGGTGTATGTCCGGGCCCTGACGGCCCCTATGGGTTCATTGTGGCCTTTTGGCAAATTGCATGAGGGCTACCCCACCTGTAAAGGGGCGCAACCCCTCCGTGGCCGACCGGGGTATGGCCTGCAAGCCAGTTGAGGTGGCAATTGTTCGAGGTTTTATATAAGGCTTTTGTTACAAGACTAGGTTCAAGACTCCTATTTATATAAGCTACAAATTGTATTCCAAACGTTGCGCCAACTATTGTCTTGGGTTTTACATAGCCCCGCTGGTAATCCCCACTTATATCCCTTTATTTCCCATGTCCCGCACACCCTCTTGGGCTTCCTCACCATCCTGTGTGTCACCCCCATATCAACACTCGCCCCAAGCTAACTAGCAGCCCTCCCACTATATCTGCCTCCTCACTGGGCCTCTTCTAATCCAAATGGCTAGCGTTGCAATCTTATTAATATACAATTTATTGGCTATTGTATATTATTCTAATATACGTAGCTTCAATGACTTGTCGAGCCTCCCGCACAATGCTAATATATAGCGAGCCCCTCACACCTTTGGTCTATTTGCAAATTGTCAACCAAGGCCATGCTGGCCTAAAATCCTAGGCCTCACTAGGCACCAATTTTGTAGCATTCGCATAATATTTTATGTGGCATGGCAGCCATCCATTTGGTTACATTGGCTCTATTTATTGATGCCCCAAACACACCACAATACAAGTTATGTGTGTTGGTTAATCATCTGAATGCTGATAGGTGCCTAATCTACATAGAGCATATTGCAGGCAGCTCTCATACTAATGTCTTTTGCTTGTTAATATTCACCCCTGCTCCTCACCCAACACGGGCAATTTATGGTATATGTGTATGCAAATGTACGCGCATTTACATGTTTATTATGCTTCAGCTTGTGAAAAGGAATAAAAGTGCATAAAATTGGGCTTGGTGTATATTAATACTGTACAATGTACAATATTACTGTATTATGTACAATGCACATAAGGGTCGGGGAATTTGGTGAGTGGTAACCAAATGTGCTGGCGCGGGCAGAAAATGACCTTTGTTCGGCAACATTTTTGCGCTTGCTGAGGGCGAGGTGGATGGTGTCCACCCTATGCCAAATGCTTGAGGGGCCAAAGAATTAATCATTTTTAGAACACCATTGTGGAATTGGGTTATGTTGACAAGGCGTAAATATAACAATTAAAATGGGAGTTTCTCTATTTACTCATTTTACTCACATTCAAAGTTGGCTTTGGCCACACACTACTATCCGCTAATTGCCATACCATATTTCCATTTTTTGCCGTAATATTTGTTAAAAATGAGAACCTGCCATATTATCTAGTAATGTGGGGTGGGGGTTGGGGGCCATATACTGAGTGTATCATTGCAACCCCACAGAATACTATTGCGACCACGTGAGAGGAATAACATCAGCAACATAGTAAGTGGCCCTCTACGGGCACCTCGAAGTCTTCTAGCACGCATTCCCACCGCCCACGGGGACCAATCTTTGCCCCCACGAGTGGCAGGAGTGGCCACTCGAGGGGCGCTAGACTTGCCATAAAATTGGTGCATCGTGAGCGCCCACCCCCATGGGTGCATAGAGGGTGCCTGACTTGCCAAAATGTGGCACCTCGCATGCGCCCATTCTTGCCATTCATGAGGGTGAATCTTGGTCCCCAAGGATAGCACACATAGGCGCCCATGGGGTGCTAGACTTGCCTGAAAAATGGTGCTTCATAGGTGTCCACCCCGGCCACTTGTGGCGACCAATCGAGGGCCACATGGGTGGCAAGAATGGGCGCCTATATGTTGCCGTTTTCCTAGCAATATGGTGCGTTGTAGGCGCCCATTCCCACCACCCACGTGAGCCTTGATTGGTCGCCGTGGTTGGTGGGAGAGGGCGCCCACAAACTGTTGTTTTCTGTCAAGGAAATGGCGCCTTGTGGGGCGCACCACCTGGGGGCCCACCACCGGCATGGGGGGCCAATCAAAGCCCACGCGGGCGATGAGAGAGTGAGCACCACAGTCAATAGTGGGATGGGCCCAAAAAGAAGCTCTTGGCGATGCGGCGCTACTTTGCTAGTTAGTGATGCTTCTTTACTTGTAAGGGGGACTTATACTACATTGTATATTATGAGTTGGTTTGGAATATAGTATAATAGGAACACTCTTTTGGGGAAAAGCACAGTGCATTGTATAATAAGGGCCTTCACGGGAATGGTGTACAATAGAGAAACCAGGGTTAGCACTTGGAGAGAGTAGTACCAGTTAGAAGCGGCAGTTTAGGTGATTTCTTATACCATAGACAAAAGGGGAAAATACTGGAGGGAAAGCATTGTGTTGGTCAGCACGGTAGGAATGGGCCTTGGGACCAATGGGTTGGTGGGACGCAAGAACAAGGGACGGGCGAATTCAAATTAAACCATGGTGGGTATGCCAGAATTAGGGTGACTCACCCTGTTTCTGGTATGACCCTTGGGATCCCTTGGAGCGGGTAAAAATACAAACACACTGAACCAATTTTGTAATTAAAGTTACTACCCAATTTTGACCTGACTAGTCCCCGACTCGAACGGAGAGAATGGGCCGTTTCCCGTCTAGCACTACCGCTCCACCCCCCCCCGGGGCCCCGATTGCCGCCCCCTGGGCCCTGATTACCACTCAATCCACTCCTTATCATTATCCGGGCCCCAATTTCTGCTAATTTATGGTGCACTTATGGATGGTACCATGGACTGCTAAACAATGGATGGTAGGGCCAATCTCTAATATGTAAAAGTGGTGTTGTGAACGTAAACAACAAGCCTAGCCAACACTATTGTGTGGGTAGTCCATGACCACCATGGGTTTCCATTTGCTGATGCTCATTGCTCACCTTCCCAACAATCCCTCCCATCCACCGTGACGCTTGCATCATTATGTGCACACACAAGTGCTGGCAATGTGGAGCGCTCAGGGTTTTTCACGATGCGTATTGTTGGCACCATACCCCCCTGTTTTGTCCCAATGCAACTGGCAGTTGCTTCAATGGAGAGTATCCACAACCACAAAACATGGCAATACGCTGATCTTCCACACTGGAACCAATGGTTAAGGGCCAATGCACAGTGGGCATGAATGCCAAGTGAAAGACCCTGCACGGGGGCATCGTTCACAAGCAGCGCCACCACATGCAGTGAATTGTCATAAGAAGCTTGTGCTAAAATAGCACAATCTCAATCTATATATTCGCCACTACACTACCATCCCAATACCCAACTGCACAGCTGATCAGAACTCTACGGATCGCCAACCTGAAGAAATGCCCCCACCCCCCACCCCCGAACCCAGCGAGGACAACACCCCTAAAGCCAATTCCCAAGTAGGCACAGTCTTTTCTGCGGGTCGCATCCACGCAAATGCCCGGCTGGCCGTCAGTGCTTCTCATTCCATTCCTTGACCTTGGGGTGGCCGTCCACCGTCTCCGCGACGCTGATCATCTTGGGGTATGGATCCACCGTGGTGCGGGGTATTCCATCCAGCACGCCCCTCCTTATCCACATTACGAAGTTATAAAAAGCAAGGTCCGCCACGGTGAGCTCGTTCCCGGCCGCGTGTGACCACCCCCGGCTCTGCAGCCTCGCCTCGATCATCCCAAACCATTTGGGTAGGGTCTCTTCAGCAAGCGCCTTTCGCATCGCCGCCTTCTTGTCGGCGTCCTTCTCGAACAGGCTAGGCACGATGAGGTCCGTGAGGTCTTGCACAAGCTGCAGGCACTCGTCGACGCGCAGCGCGGCGAGGTTGTCCTGCGGGTAGAGGCCGGCCAGCTTGCCGGCGTAAATTTGGTGGGCGATGCCCTGGGCTATGGCCTCGCCGTCCACCTCCAACACGGGCACCTGCAACGCAGGGCAGCAGAGGGCTGAGGCGGATCACTAGCTGAAATTGAACAACAGGCGTTTGGCCACTCTGAAAGATCTTTCGGAGAAGCATCTGGAAGCATGTACGCTCAAGATGCCTGAGCGCAATGGTTCGTTCCAGAAGGAACGGGGCAGTAAGCAAGAGGTACGCGAAGTTGAGTCGATAGTCCGCCGATTCGCACAGCGTTGAGAAAATTTGCGAGCAAAGAAATTCTGCCAGCGCAGTTGCAGGGCCAGGCAATGACAGACGTGGCCTGGGGGCTTTGGCGTGCACTTGCATCTCGACCTTCCCCTGCTCGAGGGAGCGAACATTTGCGACTGCCCTTGGTCACGAACGTCAAAGCGGGGAACAGGTCACACAAAATTGAGCAGCCAACCCCAAAAACGGTGCCTTGCAATCCCGTAGGTGAAAGGCAACTCTGAGGTCTCCGATGGCCAAGTCGCGCTGCAACCCACGTGTCCGAAGGGCAGGGTGGGCTGGATCTCCGCCAGCTGCTCGCCATTGACGCGAACGTCCTCAAAGTCGATGCCGCCGATGTAGAGCGCCAGACGGGTAGCCTCCGCCCGGCCTCTGGCGTCGTGGTACGTAAGCTTCAGAGTGGGAGCCATCGCTTCGCGAGTCTTCTGTCGACGGGGGCTTGTGCCTGCTGCGCAAAGAGACTGTTGGCCTGTTGGCTGCCCCTGCGCGCATTTATAGCGTGCCGGGCCTGGTTGGACGGGGCAACAGTTGCATGACGCGCAGCTCACCTTCCATCACGTACATGGCACGAAAGCTACGCACAGCCAGAGTTGGGGATCGGGGGGCGCTTGCTACTGGGTGCTTTGCGACCGGGTGAGCGTTAGTAACGCTGGTGCTAGGCTGACGGATGAAGAAAACGAGATCCCCACGCACGCCGCTCGCTCACCATCATCCAGGGCGGCACGGCTTTGGTGAGAACTGGAAGTTGTCACAAGGCATCACAGTGTTCCGAAGACAGACCATGAGCATGGAGACGCGACGGAGATGGAGAGGGGTTACGATTGGGCGTTTTAGGGGTTTAGGATTTCACTTTAAGGGGACGATGACAGCAACGGAGATGGGCCAGCAGGGGGTTGTGAGGCGTCAGGGTTTAGGTGTGCATGCGCTGGGTCTCCGTCGCAGTCTTGTCTCTTGCATGCCTCCGCGCTCATGGTCCATATCATGAACACCCTCCAAGGTATTGGTCGCCCGCTGTGTCGGCAATGTCATGTTCAATGGCATCTAACCGGGTATTGCCCAGCAGGCATTTGATTCGGCAATATTCAAGTTAGGTTGCAAATGGGGTTTAACATTCACTCATGAGTATCATACCGTGATTTTGTGTCATTCTATTATCTTGTTGAAAGGGCATTCTATTACCTTGTTATGTCTTGCCATATGGGCTATGTTTTGTCATTGTGTGGCAAGTGTATTCGACCAATTTTAATAATGGTGATTATCTTTTTGCATCGTTACATGAGTGTGCAATGCATAGCATGCATGAGACGCGTCGCCACAAGGACATGGACGTGGGGAGCAAACACTTAGAACTGCACTCCAGCGATTGCGTCTTCAATCGTATGATTCGGCATTGATGTCGAAATATGTTCAGTGATGATTTGCAGCAACCGTGGTAGATCCGCAGATCCATTCGTTTGTTATCGCAGGAAAGCAAGATGCAAGGGGTCAGTGAAGACAACCTTGGTTGGGGGTAGTCGATGTGCTGTAGCGAAGGAACACTACCTGCGACATGTGCTCGAAGACCTTGGATCCAGCTCAGAGCGCACACAAGGATGCGTATCACATCAGTAATAGAGAACCATGCTCCATATTTTCGGTGTGTAGGGTCTGAAAAAGCATTCATGTGTCTCCTTTTCCGCCATATCCTCACTACCATCACCACACCAGCATCGCCACATCGTCATCTTATCCTACTTTGGCTTGGTACGACTTGAAGTACAGAAAGGCAATGGAGAAACTGGCTTGCGTTTGTGGGTGACTTGGCCAGTGGTTTGGGGATTGCTATTCCTGGAGAAGCCTTCTGCCTATCCCCAGATGCATTGTGTACCACGCGGTAGTGGGGGCAAGTGCCGGGGTGCAAGTATTGTATTGGCAGATCACGTTGCGACTATGCAGTCTCGTACATTGCGCATCTCCCCGTTGCATAATTTATAGTCTGTGGGATGGCAACTGCAATTAAATTGGCATGGCGGTGAGCGGCACTTGAGTTTTTCTACTTCGGCTTTGGCTGGAAGGCACCGTGCTTCATGGGGGTGTGTGAGTCGTCAAGCATCCAAGTTCCAGGGATTTGCTTTTCCAAATATGTATTTGGATTATGTGCACCAATGGACTGTATCGCACAGTATGTGCAGCTCACTTTCATAACTCAATTGCAGCCACACAATTTGAGAAATCCTCCAGAAATTTTGTCACTGAAAGGGGCTGCTCAGCTGCAGCCATAAGCCTCTGATGCCAGATATTAGTAGTCCCTGACCATTACAGAACGTTCAACCCCGTACCCGATATGAATCCACATGACGTATATGATAGTTGAAGTATATGATGTGCTGCAAATCTGCTTATGTGCCCAAAGATGTTGCTTTTGTAATACCAATTTCCCAAATCACTCTGCCATTTACGGCTCAACGAAAGGTCAGAAACATGTGTTGTGGTGATATGGGGCCATCGGTTTGTGTGGCAAGCGAACTTCTTCAGATTGAAGGGCGACGCAGTCTTCCGAACATGTTAAGAAGCATTGACATGATGGTGGCGTGCTGCGGTGAAATCAAACGTTTGGGCGCAGCACAACCTATCGCGAATCTTCTCGAAGGTCAGTTGCCAATGATGAAGTTTTGAGAACCGTGCGAGGAATGGGAATCGAAGCAAATCCGGGGTCTATTTAATTCCGCACACCCTGCTCCCCCTCGCTGACTGTCGCGCCTCAAAAACGGCTCTCGTACCAACTTATGGGGTGAAGATCTTTTACGCGACTTCGCCCTTCCTTGAACAGCCTGCTCGGCCAATGGGGTTCGCGTTTTCGCTTGCCACTGCTTGATTGGTCAAATGCGCTCGTATTATTGGATCCTGTCCTGAAAGTCCCAATGCCTGCGGCTTGTGAGAGGCAGGTAGCAATCGAGTGGCTTGGCAGTGAAGCGCCAACGCAATGGGCTAAATCTGATTGCGAGTAGCCTGCACGGACGTCAGACTCCATGCCATGTGACAAGGTGGCACATCCAGAATGGGAAACACAACGCGTTGTGAACAAGTTCAATTTCATGGGAAAACAATCGACTTAAGCCCCACGTGGAGTGGTGCTCCAAAGCGTTTTTGTTGCCATGAACGGTATGAGACATGAATCTATACAGTGCGATCAGGGTTAGAAATTCGAAAACAAGAATAGAAGAGAAACTGTTTGATTAACGCGCATGTTTTTAGATCCAAAACCCAGTAGGAAGAAGTATCGAGCAACTGTCGGATGGGCTGCTGATACTTTACACCATATTGAATAGAGCGAAACCACCATGGCTGGATTGAAATCTGCTTGCTTACTATCTGATCACAGCCGTTGCCCGGGCTGGAGGTGGACGACGACGCCATACCCCAGAACACCGGCATCCTGGTGTACAACGAGCAAACTGCCCGGTGAAACAGGTAGGTACACACATATCGTTAACAAGAATTGCAGTTCTTGTGCTTGTTTCAACGCTGCTCACGTGTATTTGTGACAGTGCATAAAGATACACAACCATTCAGCAACACCACCCCAAGTCGGACACGAGCGAACCAAGAAGGGGAACAACCTTGCAGTTGCTGAAGGTTTAAATTTTTACATCCATATTCAATTAAGGACTATTGATGGGCTGTGGCAATTCAGAAAACTGCCAGTGCAGCTCATTGGTACATCGGGGTTCCATTATTCGGGCAAGTTCCTATGAATGCAACAGTAATTATCACAACCAGGCAATGGCATATGCAGCAAACGTTCGTGGCATCGTTCACAGTAATTGCGATTATATTTACTCCAGGCAAGCAGAAATACAGCTTCGGAATATCTGCATCCTCAAAGCTTGATCAGCATCCCAGCTAGAGCAGTGCAATGTTCCAGGTTTTGTCGGGGCATGAAAACGTTGTTCAACACTCCCGAACTACAACCCTAATTTCTGATAATTGTTGAAATAGTCCTTCTCAGGCCATTAGCCTGGGCTTGCTTTTGTAACCCGACACTTTACATCATCATGTGGAGGTACTGGCGACGTGGATGGGTCATGCATTTCTGTAATGCATACTGTTGGCGGTAGACCTGCATGACTCACTTTCAACGCGACGGCATCTCCAGTGGAGAGTGTCCACATCAGGAAGCCTCGCAATGCGCCAATCTTCAGCATTGGAACAGTGCCAAAAAGGGCCAGGGAGACTTGGCATTCGTACATTGAGAAGCGCCCCGCGGGTATTGTTTACAAGCAGCACCACCACATACGTAAAATTGCCACTGAAGCATGTTCTGAAACAGGGCAATCTCAATTCGCCCGTAACTGCCGTCCCTGTACATAACCGCGCAGCGGATCAGACATCTTCGCATAGCCTCCCTTCGAAAATTGCCGACCCCCACCCCCTAGCGAGGACGACACCCCCACAACCGAACCAAGGCCTTTGGCCACTCGTTTTCATCGCGCGCCATTATCATCAAATCAACCTTCAGCCCCATTTTCTCCCAGCAGCCCCTTAGTGCTTCGCGTTCCACTCCTTGACCTTGGGATGGCTGTCCACCGCCTCCACGACGGCGCTCAACTTGGGGCACGCGTCCACGATGGTGCTCGGAATCCCGTCCAGCACGCCCCTCTTGATCCACATCATGAAGTTATACAAGGCGAGGTCCGCCACGGTGAGCTCGTTCCCGGCCGCGTGGGACCACCCCCGGCTCTGCAGCCTTGCCTCGATCATCCCGAACCACTTGGGCAGCGTCTCTTCGGCCAGCGTCTTTCGCATCGCCGCCTTCTTGTCAGCGTCCTGCTCAATCAGGCTGGGCACGATGAGGTCCGTGAGGTCGACCACCAGCATCTGGCACTCGTCGACGCGCAGCGCGGCCAGGGGGTCCTGTGGGTAGAGGCCGGTCAGTTTGCCGACGTAGATCTGCTGGGCGATGCTCTGGGTTATGACCTCGCCGTCCACCTCCAACACGGGCAACTGCAAAATAGACAAATAAGTTCACCAGTCCGCCACCGTGGATCACAGCCTGAGATTCCTTTCGTGGCGCATGGCCCCTGGAGCCCCCTTTCCGTTTAGCATCTGAAAGCACGTTCGCATGTTCGGAAAGGAACAGAGCAGCGCAAGGGGTATGCTTGTGGCGAGAGTGTGCAACGCGGCGCTCTGGCGCGAAAAATTGCGCAGGGCATTCTCCTGGCGCAGTTGCGGAGTCAAACAACGAGAATGTGGCCAGCTTGGCAGCCGCCTGCATCTCGACCGTCCCCTTAAGGGGGACAAGGCTCGACAAGCTTGTCGAGCGGCGCTCTGCAACTACAACTTAAGTGGCCATGACTATCGGCGAGGGAGAAAGTCACACATTTTAGCAACCACCTCCCAGACAACAGCTCATGGCGAACTCATCGACATTGCAACGCGCGGTGAAGGTCTCCGATGGGAAAGTCGCGCCGCGACGTCGCGAGGTCGGTCGACCGACCTGTCCGAAGGGCAGGGAGGTCTTCAGCTTCTCAAACTGCTCGCCGTTGACGCGGACGTCCTCAAAGTCCACGCCACCGATGCAGAGCGCCAGGCGGGCGGGCTCCGCCCTACCCCTGGCCTCGAAGTACGTGAGCTTCAGAGAGGGAGCCATCGCGTCGCAAGGTTTCCGGCGACGGGGGGCTGTGGGTGCTGGGCAAGAGGCTGTTGGGCTGTTGGTGTCCCCGCCCGCGTTTATAGCTCGTCGGGGCTGGGACAACGGGGTATCGTCACAGTGACCTGCGGCAACGGCTGCGTGGCGTGCACACACCATATGGTCACACACAATAACGTTTGTGACGCAAATATGCGCAAAGCCAGATTTGGGGGCGCTTGCTATCCGGAACACCGCCACGGGCCGGGGATTAGTAATGTCGATTCAGGGGCGCTTGGAACCTGGGACACCGCCACGAGGTTAGCCTCGGTGCTGGGCTGACGGTTAAGAAAAACGTTCTTGTGCCCCCAACAGCTTGTTCTCGATCATCAAGGCGCGGAGATGGTGCAGGGCAGAAACAGAGTTCATCAGCAGTCCAGAGATTCTTCGCCCGCTGTTGAACATCGGGGAGTACGGCTTCGTATGCAATGGCCCCCAACTGGCATTACCCTACAGCCACTTGGTTCGGCCATGGCAGAAAGTAAACATTGTAATTGCCCAACGTAATGTTTACGTTTAGTTGCAGTTGAAGGACCACATTCGCTCATGAAGTGGTCACATCACGGGCGTTTGGCTATGAACGTACAGTACAAGAGCATTTCATAACTTTTTATAATGTTGCTTTTGTTGCACTGTACTATTACATAAGTGTGAACAGGACTTGACACCACCATTGCATGGACATGGAGAACAGAGGTCACAATTGCATTCAAGCGTTTGTCCCATTGACCGTGTAGATGGGCGGCGACGTCGAAATATGTCCAACGATGACTTGCAGCCTCTCCAACAAATCCACAAATCCACTCCACTATTTCACAGAAGAGTAAGGAACAGGGTCCATGTGGGCACGGTATATACACAGGGGTATTCATCAATTCTAAAGAAAATAATGGAAATAAATGCAATGAGATCAATGTAAGGGACACCCGAGAAAGGAACTTTGGTCAGAATTTCCCACCATTTCTGTCATGTAAAGGCCACAAATCTGCCACGCACTTCAGAAATATGTAACATCGCCTTGCCAGACCAAATTAGGAAAGTGATTCTGCAGCTTGCCGAATTTATGTGCAAACACATGGGAAGCAGCAATCACGGGAATGATATCGATCGATCGCGCTTAGGGCGAACACGAGGCTACAAGTGCCCACCAGAATGCGTGGCTGGGCGACGAGAGAGGCGGAGAGGCCCGCGCGCCATTGAAAAGGAATTTGTAGAAGGTTGCCATTTTGTCTGCCAAGTGCATTCCACACTACATTGCTTGCCACTCTGCCAAAGCCAAAAGGAACAAGCACGTAATGGCACTTCCATATTATTTGCCTTCCCCTGAAGCCCCCGAATAAACCAAGAAGACAAAAGACAAATTCGTCTTCATGTTTGCAAACACGGATATGCATGCCTTGAAAGGTTTGCACCGGGCTCTAGACAATCCAGATGATATGTAGGAGCCATGTGGCTCCTACATATCATTTGGATCTCCTAAAGGCCGACATGAGGATCTCCAAGAGCACATTATCCATTCAACGATTCAGAAGTGCCCAGTCGGCAGTTAGAGTGCTGTTGACATTCCGACCAATCAAAATTCCAATCTCTGGCTGCCTGATGCGCGCATCTGCCTCGTGGCTAGTAGCGCAAACCTTGCCATAGGGCCGCAACAGCGACCGCACACCACGTCGCTGTGGGTCGCAGCCCGCTCCGCCAACCAACGGCCCCAACCCTTGCACTTGTGGAAATGGCCATTTTCGGGACGCCAAATGGCAATAAGCAATGATTATTGGGACGCTGTTGGGACCCCGGCATACAATTACTGGCTGCACCAAATCGGTGACTGCTTGGACCAAATCCCTCCCAAACTAAACTAACCTAACACCTAAACCCTAAATCCTAAAATTAAAACTACCCTAACCCTAACCCTGACCCTAAAAATCAACTTGAACCTGAAACTGAGGTGAGGACCTACTGTGCACATGATTTGGTGCAAGCAGAATTGCCAATGTTTTGTTGTTGAAACGGCCATCGTAGTGTGCTTGGGTGAGCATGCCATCCGTCTGACGCGCCTCTTCCAGAGGGAGCTGTCCCTGCAGGAAGCCCTAGGCTTCTGCAACTGCACATTCACAGAAGAGATGCCGCTACCCTGGTTTGCTCGATTCAATTCCAGTCTACCATCGCCCGTTCTGGTGGTGGACGTGGTTGCATTTAACACATTGCCAGGGATGGCCCCCCCAAAGAAGCGCACGTTTCATCACGGTGGATGAGGAAAGACTGCTGAACTGCACGAGGGTCAAGCCCCATTGCTTTGGCCATGTCATGAACTTCAAAGATGGTTCCACCTCCATTCGCGTGCCTTTTGCGCTCATCTTGTTTCCAAACCAGGTGAGGGAAAATTTCCGCGATAGGAGTTCCTTGAGATCCGAAGCCAGTAGATGCAATGCACCTTTGGGAAGAGCTGCAAAATTTTCTTGGCACTTCTGTCACATGGAATGGGCATTTGGCATTGCGCTTTTAGGGCTCTGAACAGAACCAGGTTTATGTGCTGTCTGGTCCCAACTAGTCTCTGGCAGTGAAGTGGATTTAAGCCAATCTCTGCCTGTTGCATCGACATATGTGAGTGTCCTGATTGACGTTGATTCATCTGCCTGAGTGACGACCAACGTGGTGGTGAAAAGGGCGGCGATATGAAGATTCTAATGAACCAATCACCGACACTGCTTTGCTCAGGCAAAATAGGAAGCTGACGGCTACCTCATTGCCTTGTTCTGTAAAAAACTCATGATGATGATGATGATGATGATGATGATGAAAAGGGCGGCGGTCCATTCTGGCCATCATCCCCAGTGATAGCGCAGTCAAAACACCCCTGAGCGGACGGCAGAATCCCGTCGACAGCCTTAGAACCACGTCAGTTGAGGGCGCACTGAACGAACAAGGTTTGCTACTCGCGCGAACTGGTTCTTAACGAAGGACTGCTTGTCACGACGATGTCAACGACCAAAAATGGCAGCGACGGAAAGGGAAGTTTCAAGCGCGTTTGCATGCCTAAAGGTCAATTGGATATTTGCCGCTCGTTTGCAGAACCTCTCACAATGGCCCCCCAGAGCGCCACAACCAGTCACAACCACTCGCCAAAAGTCAGCGAGGACAGGGCACAGGTCAGCACCGCATGTCAGGGCAGCCTTGTCCACGGTGTAGCGATACATTACACGAAAGGTGCTTCTTTTCCCCTCGACGAGGCTGTGCAGCCACGAATATTGGTCACTTTTGGCCAGCAGCACGACTGCACTGCTGGGTTTGAGCGGCAAGGAATGCGGATCAGAAACCGGCACAAACTGGCCACGACCTTCGAAAAGGTCGAGCGCTATTACGCTCAGGCGATGGTCAACGTCTCACACACGGCCAGGGGAGTCAGGCAGGCAGGCTGAGTGCCTAGACCACAGCGACAGGCACACACGAACGCCGTGCAACCGTTCTTACAGCTGCCAGGCCGAGTCCAACAATACAGAGTCCCGCCGCAGCTTTCGCCACGCCCCTAGTACTTGCAACCCCCCCTGCGCTGGCAAACACCCCCCATTCCTCAGACATACTCTGTTGATACCCGGAACCTTTCCACTAGGAAAAAAAGGCCAAACTACATGTGTTCAAACGTGTACAAAATCTACGGGTTTTGGTTATTTCCATGTTTTTAGCATGCAGAACACTGACGAAATGCATATGTGCTGTTGGCAGAAAGTGTTATTTGTTCCTTTATTTGCCAGTGTTCTGCCACACCCCCCGTTTCACTGCAACTCGACCCAGTACACCACATTGCCCGCGATCAGCCACCACGCAATGCCAGAAGAACCATATTACCATCAAACAGCCACATTTCCCATGGTCAGCAACCACGTTATACCCCATGGGCCATGTTCCCAGCAAACAAGCACGGGGCGCCTCCACACACCCTTCCTTGCTCCATCTCACCTAGGTCCATGGCAGACCGCCAGGCGGGCAGCACTCAAGGCGTTTTTCAGGCGTGTCTGACTCACGTGTCCCTGTGTGACGCGCTGCCACTTATTGGCGTTGTGCTCAACATCTTTACAGCATCTCAGTGGACCCTTTGGGCGTATAATAAGGTTGGTGTAGGCTATCATTGTAATGGAAGTCATCTCCCTGGGTTCTGAGTGCCTTGAGCTTGCAATATTAGAAAATTATGTAGCACGCCTAACTGATGACTTGGGGTTTCCTGCCTCATTGACCGCGCCCACCTGCTGGATGATAATCAGTGTGGCGAAGGTGTTGAGTTTGGCGACATCCCCTCTGCACCATATCTGGACCTCACGGGTCGCCAGCTGACTGACACCATTATTTTGCTATTTTTTTCTGATGAGCCCCATTAATTGGCGACCCGAACAGTGGCAATTCAGCAACACTGATGGTCGACCTCACACCTGAAAATAGAGTACGATTTGTTCCTGATTGGTTTTGTGACGACGCTCTCCACTGATGCAGATTGGCTTCAAGGGCCAAGGTTTAGATAGTCACAAAGACATTTAAGAAGATAGAATATAGATGTCAAGATAGATGCTTCTCACAAAACGAGGTGCCATGCAGCATGCATCACCCTCCTGAACACGACGCTCTGTGACCGTATTCCACACAGCTGGAGATGGTGCAACTGTCTCTGAGTACTGCGGGAGCCATGTGGCACAGAGCGGCCACAAAAGGTGTAAAATTACACTTCAGACAACTGTACCACGGTTGCCGCGATTTTGTACACAAAACAGTGCAACCTCGCACTGCATCCTTTCCTGCGAAAGCACCACATGTCCCATAATTTTGGAACACCAGCAGCAGTGCAGCTGCGCAATGCGAACTTTGTTCGAACTGTGAATTCCCGACGCGAACCTACAGTCAGCCCGGCCATTTTGCACAAGGCGCAATGATTTTCACAAAGAAATTCAATGCAATTGACAGCTCAATCGCCATCTCGATTGATCAATGCCCCATATTAGCCACTTCAAAAGTGTTTCCTCGCGTTAACAGCCACCAATAGGGTCGTATTGTTAACACGAATTTGCAAGAAACTATACACATCAATGCAAGAAGACATCGTCAGCTTTCATTCTCGCCCGAGAAAAGGACTGTAAAGGATCTCCTCAATACGCCTCCACCGCGCGTTGGCCTCTGCCCCATCAGATTGACGGACTAGTACCCGTCGTATGACACGTTGATTCCTGTGGCGTCGTACAGCAGCATCCACCTGACACACAGCGCCGCCGCGACGTCGTGTACTGCCTGCCCAAATGCCGAAGAATATCCATAAATGGACAAACTGCCCATCCCCGGGTCGTGCTCGATCCGCCCACCCCCCACCGGCTCCAAATCCAACCCCAAGTGCCCATATTCCTTCTTCGCAGCTTCCAACAGATTCATGTGATACTTTGCGGCAGTGCTGCCCCTCACCACGAGCTTGCTCCTGTCGCCATCGCCCACACGAAGCATGACGTATTTGAACCTGCCCGTGTCGATCCTAACATCATCAACTGAGTCGCCCGCCCAAGAGCCGGGTCTGCCATCCGCCACCCAAGCATCCAGAACCTTCCGCGCGATGGCATAGCCGCCCGGTATGGACATGTCTCCAGGGCCCGACCTGGACAGCGCCACCTGCAACGCATTGTGCAAATTACAGCTTTGCCACCAAACCGAGCTCGGCCACAGTCATTTTCACAATCATTGTCATTGTCGAAGCAGATGTGTAAGGCACTGAACCCAATACCAATTTTACAGAATATTTTTGACATAAATTTTACGCAATGTGCAGTTTTTGGTGTAATATGAAGAATCGATGTATTAAATAGAAGAGCTATATAAGAAAAGGAACATATGAAAACGTCAGAACTTCTGGCGCTTTTGTGCATTGCATTCTAGACGTTTTGTGTGGAGATTTGGATATGTCCATGCTGGTGAAAGTCCCTTCCACCCAGCGGACGTCCCATTCAGCCCATAATCTAAGACAATTTGGCCTTCAGCAGCAGGTTGAGCGCAAAGTCTCAGTAAAACATGGATACATACATGGTATATGTATGCTGCCCTAACTAATGAAGCATATGTCATTGATTGACATAGTTTTCTTCAAATGCATTTGTCCCATGCTCAGACGACAACAATGACCTACAAATTGATGAAAGGCCCTGTTGATTGATTCTGTGACTGCTCCATAACGCCCATGGATGCCTCAAACGGCCAGTCTACATTGCATATAGAAGACTGACCAGGAAAGAAACAAATTCAAGATTTTGACAAAGAAATGCGAAAAGTGGGGCCTTGGAAGAACCATCCATATGCAATTGTTGAATGGCCATCATGTGTGACTGCCAAATATGGCTGGTGAGTCACAACCACATATATATGTGCTAAAGATTGTGTCCAACCCAGATCCCCAAGCAAAGGGGTCACAACAATCTATTACTATTCCAACAGCAAAAGCACAGGCCAACTAGAATGGAAGGGACTACTGGTTGTGCCAGTGACCACACCCATCAGCTGCGACGTGATCTTCCCAACTGGTATGGCTGCGCCTTACGGGCTCAAAGTTCTACAGGAAACTCAGCTACCCTTTTGGTTAAGCTATTTCTCTGACCAGACTGGCGAGTTGTAATGAATCCCTGCGCATTAATGAGCGAATAATGCGCCAGACCAGTTCCCTTGCTTTTCGAGCCAGCCTCGCAACTCTCATTGTTACGACCGGTCTGTAGGCAAACAAATTGATGCAAATTGATGCCTTACAATTAGTAAGGCTAAACCAACTACTTTCCAAAGAAGAAGAAGATTTGCAGACCTGGCGCTACGACAGTTCATTGTGCATGTCGCCACCGTGGTATCTCTTGAATTCTCCTCCGACTACCGTCCTAATGTGTCTGCCCACCTGGCCCTACGGCCCCAACGCTCCTCTAGACTTCTAGGTCCGCATTTTCCCTGCTTGGGGTTATTGAATCCCCTTGATTTTTCTCTCAATTTTTGCTCTCAGGTTGGCCGGCGCCCACCGGTCCGTACTAGGCAGCGGCGCCAGTACTAGTCAGCCGCCCACGGGTCCCTCCCGCTAACATCATCGCAAGTACCTCCCGGGTACGGACGACCGCGTTCTTGTGCGCGGCATACGCCGTTCCATGAGCCGGAGGGGCGGGCTTCCCCCCGGGCGCTCTCCGGCGAGGCCCCCTTGGGCCCTCATGTTATTTTGAATTTTTCTGATTTTTTTGAGCCTTAAGTACTAGAGGACGTTGGCGGCGGATTTCGCTCTATACTACTCCCCTCCCCCATCCTTCTTGTGGGTAAACCCCCTAAACCCACACGGGCACCTTTTCTGGGGATCCGGGTTTTGGTCCCCGTGGGGGCCCCCAGAAAAGAGGAGCGGGTAACTCTCGAGCGGCACCGGGAGTTGAATCCGCGTGGCCGGTACCCCAAACATAGGAGTGCCGACCTCTTTGGGCCAAACCCGGGTATACGCTCAAGAGCACCCGCCCCAACTACTTTCTAAAGTTGGAACAGTTGATTGGTTTTTATGTATACACCTACCCAGTCCTTTGTATGATTTCCAAGACTTTGGACACTGCCCAACGAAATCAGCATATCATCAGCATACAGTTTGACATCCAATTTCTTATTGATTCTGTGTGCGCTTGTACTACTCAGTTATCAACAACTTTTGCAGACAGCTCTTTCCAGCTCTTTTGCAGCTGCCAAGCCTGATTCTTAGTCAGTGGGTGTCTCTTTGCTTCATGTGCGCTTTTATGCACTGCCAGGTAAACCTTCACAATTGTTGGGGGACACAGTTATGACGCAACTTTTGTGGCAGGAGTTTGAGCTTCAATTCCTTGGCTTAGTTCTTTAGGACTTTTCTCAGCCTGGCTCATGCTATGACTAGCATTGGTTTTTCAAGGCTTTACTGAATAGACATTGGGGAACTCGAAAGGAATGTAATTGCAAATTGTAATCAACGTTTCTGATGTCAAATGAAATGTGTGTGCAACACTGGTAACTGTGGTGACCACTCAACATCGCTCTCCATCACCGGTACAATTAATAATAGGCTTGACAAGTCTTTGAGGTATGAAAGCCAGCCACACGGAGTTCCAAAAGGCAGTCAGCCCTCTTGCCAGCTTCACAATGTGGCTTTGGGCTTTATCCAACACCTCTTATATATGCGTGCTGCTTAACGCACAATTGCAAGTCACCTTTGCACGAACTTCAACAACAAATGTTTTGCCAAGACAGTCAAGATTACTTACAACACTTCAACAATGACTCAGCACTCTAAATTAGATCCTTGGAGCCTCCAACAACTGCCAATGTCCCCTTTGGGGATGTTGTAAAGTCTCGGGGTCCTAGCACCCTTTGCGTACTTTACAACAAGTGTAATGAAGTTGTTTCTGCACCACACACACTCAACACACACTCACACTTACGAGGCTTCCACGGGTTGCGACCTACACTCAACCTTTGACCAATCAACCGATTATTAAAATGAATCTTTGGTTAGCCCCTTTGGACCACCGGTTAATCAGTTTGGCTGGCGACAATAAAAGGCGCAGCTCCCCTTTCTATAGCCTGCAGGGCTGCCACCCCATCTAAGAATATTCTATAACGATTCCTTGGAATACTTTATTCTTTAAACAAATTATAAAATGTCACACTAATCGCTTGATTTTGTCCTTTTCCACCGTTCACATTAACCTATTCAAATATAATCCTTCTACTTTGCAATCTATAGAGCATAATGGCTCACCAAATGAGCGTTCACCGGCGTTCATGGCGTGCCGTTCACCACCGCTTTTACCACCAGAAGCAGGTGGTCTTGTACACTCGGTTTAGGGTTTGGGGTGCCCTCAACAGAAACCGGTGTCGTCCCAATCCTCTGAATCAACGACATAGGGGTCCTCTCCATGAATGAGACGGACTTTGAAGGTATTACCTCCCTTTGTCGTGCTGAGACTAATGCTGCAGCTTGGCGTCTCTGACGGTACTGTTGTCTCTCCCTCCTACGCCTCCACTTTCCCCGTCTCCTATGGCACTCCTTTTGTCCGTAGCTGAGCGTATGATATTGGGTACAGCCCCTCTGACTAGGTTGTCCCAAAAGCTCCCGATGCAATCCTGACTGGCCAGAGCGGGAGCCAGTCAGTTTCCCGACCTCGGACGCGGGGAAACATCGGAATCCGACCCGGCTGCCTGCTGTGCAGCCTCCTGATCCAACCGATCAGCCAATCCTCTCAACTCCTCACTGGTGGCTAGCGCTGCCACCTTGGGCTTCCTCTGGCCGCCTTTGCCCTTTCCGCAACGGTCAGACCCATCGTGCCTCTTGGTGTTGGAAGGGAATGTGACAACACTTGAGGGACGTGGGGGATAGGGCTGGCGACTAGTCTCCCCCTGACCACTGGTTGAAGGAAACGAACTGTTGTACGGTTGTTGTGGTGAAAAAAATGGCATCCTCCATTTCAACGGCTGCTGCTGCTGGGTGCTCTTCTTACTGTTCCCTGTTCTACCCATTTGTCTGAACTGCTGATTCTTCTTCTTCGGGTCCTGGTCGCCTTTTCTCATTTTCTGCTTGGACATATCCTCACGTCTGCTCTTGCAGAACTCCATGGCGTCCTCTAGTCTGCATACCAAGGCTTCTGCCTCCGCAAAAGTTTTGGGGTAAGCCTTTGCCGCTTCCAATCTGAAAGGTTGCCTCAACCCCAATATCCACCGTTGTAATGTTGTCTTGTAGTTATAACCAGGGACCTTTGTCAATAATGTCTTCATGCGAGCCATGTACGTGCTCGCTGTCTCTGTCGACCTTTGTTGCAACTTCAATAGCTCAGCTCGAGCCCTGTTTTCATGTACAGGTGACTCGAACTGGGCCCGCAAGAGCATCATCAGCTCCTCCAACGTGTCCGGCCTATGCCCACCTCGCGAAGCCAACTCCGCCTCCCACCAGCATCTGGCGTTCTTCTGTAATCGAAGAATAACATAGGACATTGCCTGCAGCTCACTTGGTTGAACAAGAGCCAAATAATCCTTCACCATGTTCAACCAAGAGACGATGTTCTGATACCTGTCTCAAGTGAATGTTGGTGGCTCTGGTGGCTTAATCGACACATTGAATAGTGACTCATGAGCCTTCTCCAAAGGTTGAGAGACCGCCCAAGACTGTGCAGGTGGGGTTGTAGGTTCCATTTGCATGGGCTCAAGCGGGGTCACCATAGGTACGGAAACGGGCTGTGAGGTACTAGCCTGTTCCCCTGATGCCTGACGTTGTAGCTAATCAAAACGTGCCGCTATCTCCTCTGCCTGCTGCATGATGGTCATCTTGCGAGTAGATGCCTCTGCTGATCGCTGATCCAGTACCTGCTGTGCTCGCGTGTGCTACTCAGAAAGGCTAGATAACTTCCAACTCGACTCTTGAAGTTGTTGCCTTAATGACCTTGACTCACCCTGAGCGGTGTTTAGCTCTTGCTGGACTGAATCAAGCCTCTTCACCGCTCCATCCGAGATGCTCATCTGTCTCCTCAATGCAGTCTCCAACTTCTCCAGTCGAGATTGGAAATCCTTCTGATCCTCCAAGCGAGCTTGTTGGAGTTCCTCCACCATGCAAACAACCTCTGAACTGCGCGCCGCAGAACTGTGGGCAATACAGCGCGTCTCCACCTAATCCTAATGCAGCGTTTGTATCCCCGTCTGAATTCCTATCAATATCGTGTTTGCTCCCTCTTCTAACTCATGAGTCCTCTGTAGTGCTGTAGCGCTCACGTAGGTCGCTTGTTGGGCCTGTTGGCCCGCCGCAGCGCTCTGTTGGACAACAACTATACTGGCTCGAGTAGCCTCATGAGCTAGCTGTCCGGCTATAACACTCTGCTGGGCTGCATGAATGGCGGCCTGCTCTGCTACTGCTGAAGCAGCTGTCGGTACTTGTCCCTACTGACTGAAGGAAGGTGACAGCCCAACAGTACTAGGTGAAGCTACAGATGGATGGACGGATCGTGTGGAACACACATCGACGTCCATATCATTCTGTCCACTTTGTGCTTCACGTGAGTCTGCCATCTCTCTCTCTTCTGACTACAACAGCAATAGAAACTCTGGCTCTCGGCTCAGAAGTGTCTCAAACAATCTAACAGTGGGTAGACTGGGTACTGGCTGTATCGGGTCCTCGTGTGGTTGTTGACTAAGAGCTATCAGAACTCCCCAATCTCAGGATCTCCCGAGACGTAATCCTTAGTAGACACTGTTCCCCCCTCGCCGGCTACAGTACTAGGATTCCAGGAAGAATCCTAATGCTGTCGCAATTGCCCCTTGCCTGGGGCAGGGAAGAACTATGGGTGGCCTAGTGCCTGACCAGCCAGGGATCGCGAGGCCCCACGGTCACACCCTATTGGTAAAGGCCGGCCCACTTCTAGGACGTTCCTAACTTCCACCAACCCTCAAGGCGGGTTGGGTCCAAGGCTGGGGGTATACAGTCCCTTGGTAGGGGCCCTCCCTGTGCACACTCCTTTCTCCAACTGCTTGCACCTATGTAGGAATGAGCAGGCAACCCACCTCAAAGGGCCACAACTCCTTGGAGTTTCCTTTGGATTCCTTGAGGCCACAACTGAGTAGTCCAATTGTCTCTCCAAATCCTTAAGTACTGGTCATTTAAGTACTTCAAGTAGTACTGGCTTTGGTGTAGTATTTTAGTGCAGTACTGGCCTTGGTGTAGTACTTGGTGTGGTACTGGCCTTGGTGTAGTACTTGGTGTGGTAAGGGCCTTGGCGTAGTACTTTAGCACGGTAGTAAGGGCCTCAATACTTGTTACGGCTCAGTTGGGCTCCTCCTGGCACTGTGGGGGACGCCTGGCCTTGCTTGCCGTATCGTATGCCGCTCCGGGGTGCTGTATCACCCTGCGCAGTGCTATGTCAGCCTGCGCCCCTCGCGTGGCGCTCCGGGGTGTTGTGCCACCCTGCGCAGTGTTGCGTCAGCGCGTACCGTGCCCGGTGCATGTTGTACCGGTGCGGTTGCCACTACGCGTTGTACTGCCACTGGTGGGGGTGCCGCGTTGCCTCTCTGACATCAGACTGGTGCCGTGATGCGGCTGACTACTAGAGGTGGCCACTCAAAGGTGCCATCCGGTCCGTTAAATCCGGTTCGTTAATTTTTATCAGCTGTCCGTTAAATTTCGTTAAAAAAAAAGGGAGAAAAATTCAGAAAAAACGAAAAAAATCGAAAAAAATCGAAAAAAAACCCAAAAAATCACAACAACTGCGGCTAGTTGAAAATCTAGTATGCATAGGTTGGAATATAATACAAACACACTCTCTAATAGCGAATTCCATAAACTATAAGTATGACTAAAACCCAAAAATCCCCAAAAAATCCAAAAATCCGCTATTTTGGTTAATTTTTGTTTTTTTTTCGTTATTTTCCGTTAATTAACGGAAAATTAACAGAAAACAACCATAAAAGCTGTCGCCGGATCCGAATTTGGCCTCTCACGACTTGCCCCTCCGAGGTGCTTGGGCGCTCCGCCGCCTCCGACCTGCCACCTCAGCGCGTGGTGCGGGTCGCGCTCACTTCGCGCTTATCCAAACTCTGCCGCGAAGGCCTGGGAAGGCCTCCCGCCGTCGGGCGCTGGTTTTGCCGCGGCAATTTGCCGATCGATGGTTCGATTCGGCGGTCGCTGGCCCGGTACCCGTATCCGCCTCCTCCGACCCGCCGAATGGCGACCCAATGCTTAGGCTGCCCCACTCTGTCTCTCACTCGCAGCCCTCCGCCGCAGTTCGCCTCAGTCTCCGCGCCCCGAAACCAGCTAATGAGGTGCTGATTTGCGAATCGCGCGTCACCGCTGCCTCGTCGCCTGGATGGCTAGTGCTGGCCCGCGCGGCCTCGATTGGCCGCGGCTTGTTCGGGGCGCGCACTCAGTGCCCTCTTAGGTGGTGGGCCCAGATCCCAAGAGGATCGCTGGGGTCGCGGCAAGGGAGTTCTAGGCGCTGCGAGCTTGGTCGCGCGAGTGTGGTCTTATCCGCGCGAACCGGAAATGTCGATACCAGAGTCGACGTGCAAGATTGAATTACTGATGTCACAACCATATCTCTTTTGTACAGCGGGGTGCACCGCGTTCAAGGTCGCCCGCCGTGAGTCAAAAACAGTGTCACTCCAAATCACCCGTGCTCAATACAGCCGTTCCCCAAGCTGCCATAAAATATTGCAACTGGCCAGAAATCACCCAAATAAAGAAACGTCCTCTCAGGGCCCTAATCCCATCTAATAGAGCATTTAATTAGATTGTCAATTAACATAAATTAAAATAATAATATTCTCAATAAGAGGCCTCAGAGAACAGAGAGAAAAATCAAAGGGGTAAATAGTCTCCCCATGTAATTTCGTCACAACGACCTTTTCGCACGTGATAACTTCAAATTTCTTCTCTTGCTTGCTTAGCACATCCGAAAGCCATCCGCCCTCTTTGTAGTCAACCAACCGCAGCTCGCCCTCAATCCTCACCCACGCGCAGTACCTTGAAGCGGTTAACACTTCCCAGGCAGATTCTGAGCACTACAACATCCATGACAAGGATGCTTCTCCACTGCCTTTGGCAGGTGAAATGGCCGTCCTTTGACCGGGCCACGCATATCCCCTTGGTTTTCAGTAAGGTTAATCCCATTCTGCAACGGTCTAAGCGAGGGACATGTCCTCCATCCAAGCCGCTCTGTTTCTCTGGTAGCGGAAGCGAGCCGTCTGACGTAGCCAGAATGCCCAACACCTTGTGAGGATGGCGGACACAACAAACGCCTCCAACTGAAAGCACATTGGTTGTACCCCTCGGGAGAGGCGCCATCACCAAGTCCATGGTATTGCCGTTCATATCCAAAATTCTGGCAGATCAATCCTCGCCGCAAGCCACTCAAAAGGAACATTGAAAAACTCCACTACTATGTCGCGCAAGTCTCTCTACCCCTCCATGGAAAGCGCATTCATACTCAGTACTCAGGCAAGGGCCTCGTTCCTGCCATACCAGTCCACTCCGAGGGGTGCCGCAACGTTCAACATGTTCGCCATAGCTCCGCGAACAAGTTTGCATTATCTGTGGGGCTTGAATTTTCCTTGCGCGCCATGTGCAAGCCTCCCAGGCCGTGGGGGACTTAAACAGAAGCGTCTCGGGCGTAGGGTCCGTTCCCGCGGCTCTGCATGGTTAACTCGGCCGTCAGCATATGTGACACACGAAAAAAAAAAAAACAATCATATTGGGCAACATACAAAGCTATCTCCGTACCCTTGACAATGTAAGTTGGAGTACATGGAAGGTCAACGTGATGCAAGTCAGTCGCATTTGATCGTAGTGCGATATCTAAATATAGATGTCAGTGAAACTACATTACTAATATGCAAGTGAAAGCTAATGTACAAAGTTCACTCTTGTCCCGTCAAGCCAGGGAAGAGTTGTGACAAACCGGTATTGGGTTTCAATATATTGGCAGATACATAATTGCCAGGCCGTTTTGGTGCATTCTTCCAGCATTCTTGGCTCATTACTTGGAGTCGCCTTCACAACTGTCAAGGTCTTAACGAAATGCTATAATGTTCAACCAACTCTTCATCACCATATGGTTTTGTTCTTTTACATCCCTTTCTTCATTCCTGCAATTTCTTTAGCTGTTTCCTTAGCTTTTAATCCCTGTCATGAATTTTCAGTGGTTCTTTCAAATTTTCCTTTCTTCTTATCAATGAATATTACAACATCAAACGTTTGAATTGCATGGCCGTAGGCTACTGAGGCTACTGAGCCTCAAGCTCAACAGTTATGTCAGGCTCATATTAGGGCTATTGTACTCAACACCTCACATTAGGACCTATATCTTCATTGTATCCATTCATATTCAATCGCGTCAACATGCAGCCCTTCAAACTGAACAGTGCATAAACTCCAGTAGCGCCACCTTATGCTTCTTTCCTTTTCATCTTCAGACATTGTCCACACTTCAATTGCTATTTCTTCAGCCATTTTGTTCACCTCGCATTGTTAGCGAACTCGACTTTTGTTCATCCAGTTCCTTGTAATCTACGGCAGCTCGTTTGATGCATGCTTTTCCTATCCAGCTCTTGCTTATGTGTCATGTTGACATCCCTGGGCTGAATGTTTCAAGGCGGTCTATTCACGCACGCAGCTAGTTATCCTTTTTGGTCGGATTCTTATGTAGATTACAGCTACAAGGTCCATTATCCAAACAGCTGTCAAACGCAAACCCATGGATCTGCTTTAAATAGAGACACTCGTGTCCATCAAATCCAAGCTTTTGATGTTGCCTTTTCATGAAACAAAATTCATCGCATTCTCGAAAGCTTTGAGCTGTCATGCTTATGAACGGTCGAGCTCCAGTCAGCTATTACCAATGCCCTTCAGCACGTTCAGATCTGGGCGGCCGCCGCTAAAGGATGTGGCTTGCCTCCTTCTTTCCTCGGTCTTTCTCCTTGTTCTCTTTATGCAACGTATGTTTGTTCTTTCTTTTTCTTTGCTCTCTTCTCTTTTTTTTTACTTTCACCCCGACTTGTTGTTAATAACGGCCCAATCAGTTGCGTTATGTCGGTCATGAGCCCGCCTTTGATGTACCGGTGCTCATGACTAGCACCAGTTTCAACACAACATGCACCAAAAGATTGTGTGCTGCAAGCAATCATCCGACATGAGCCATTTGAGATGACTTATCTCAGATAATGGCCATACCAACTCTTTTGCGAACAACTGGCGTGAGCATCAGCACCTTACAATACTTGTTTGTACCATGTTTCCTGCATGGTGCGTCGCAAAAGTGAGTCAAGTTCTTTCACCAATTCTGCAGCCATTTGTGCAAAAGGCTGCACATTGTTTGTTGTTCATTTTCGAACCGAACTACATGCAATTAGTCATTCAAAATCAGCTCGTTGGAGATTTTTTCGCTGTTGTCTCACAGACTGGATCGTTTAATTGGCATGTGGATGGCTCACACATACGGATCAGTTAGAGAGGACAACGGCTAGATCCATCACCTCCTGCTTGATTATACGACGCCATATTAGGAACGCTGTCTCGGACACCTAGCCAAGCAGCTCACGCCCATCTCCTTGCCTTGATGCGCACATTCTCCGACCAAATGGGCCAACGCTCCGCCCAGCGCTCTCGATCGACCGCGCAACGCCATGTTTGGAATCCGAATCAGGCCCAACAGGGCGCAAGGACGTAGCTTCGTCACATTTCAATTAACTCAATCTCAAGCATATGTGGGCTGTCAAAACATGCACCACAAATCCAAACAAATACCACAAATAAACTATATACTATAAATCCCTATACTGGCACATGACAAATATGTGGACATGGCAATTATGTGGATTCATCTTTGCGCCACCTTGGCAAGGAAGTCTCTGTGGAACCAGCCGACCCGCTCCAGCTCGTCCTCCTGTGGCCGTGGCCGTGGCAGCCACGTGCCCAGGTACTCATCCACCTCGTGCGGCAGGATGCCGCTGTCGATGGCTGCAGACCTCGCAACGCCCTTCAGCCTATCAAACCCTGTGCCACCTGGCGCGAGGGGACAACAATCCACATGTCTTAACGTGGTACGCCGCAATTATGGTGCCACCAAATATGACACACTATGCCACCAAATGCAATATAGCGAGCCTACATCAAATGCAGCAAGCAAACGCAAATTTTGCACAAGCACACGACAAACACCGGCCCAGAGCCATGCATGGGGGCGACGAGCAAAGTCCACGGTCAGTGTACACTGACTGTACCATCACGATTTTTCGGCAACTGTTACAATTATGCCAATACTGCGTCGTGCAGCGCTCCAATGGACATGTGCATTCGACGCAAATTGGGAGCTGCACAACTTATCACTGCCACAATTGTCGACTAACAGTGCCGCAGTTCCGTTGTTCAACGTGGAATGCAAGGAGAGTCATTTCAACATAGTCTAGTTCGTCCGAGAATTTTCGCCCAATCCCCCTTACTCACCTGGCACGAGATGTCCGCTGAAATGGTAGGGGGCCCCTTGGACAAGGTCGCTTTTGTCTGCCGGGTGAGCGGCCGCCGCCCTGAAAGCAACCATCAGGGAACGGGGAAAGGGCCAGGGTTGTGAACCAATATACTTCACGCTCTCAGGCGCCACCTGCGCCAAATCGGCTAACCTCCATCAGATACCGTCAAGCATCAAGTCCTCGAGCGAATCGGGAACAACTGTGCATGAAATGTAGCTTCATGCGATCATCATCAGAAAATCATCAGCCCATACAGTTGTCCGTGTGTGCCGTATGCTGGGGGCCGAAGGAAGGGGCAGGGCTGCAAGCAAACGAACATCAAGCTCGCAGCGCAGCCCGGTTTTTGCAAAGACAGTGTCGAACGTGTAACCAACAGTATAACTTCGCCAATGTTATGCCTGCACAGCAGCGTTCAGCATCTTCACAGGTACCATCACATCATGATCCCACCAACACATTTTTTCGGCAATGCAGCGTTTCAATTTTATACAAGTTTCATTTAATAACATGTGGACATAAACAAGCTTTGTGGCTGCGCACAAAAGAACGACTTCGTGCTAATGCGTGCCAGTGGACAGGGCGCTCGCCACAAAGTAACGAAGTTTCACGACTTGGTCCTGCCTTTCCTTTGCTCACACTACCCTGCGCTGCTCCGCAGAATGCAGCCCAGCACAACACAAACGGACAGCTTTGCAACAAAGCGCTGGAAAACAGGGGTAACGATGTGGTGAAACACACTGTTCGCCCAAAATCCAAGAGTCACTCAGCACCTTGACAGCTGCCTCCTCAAGGACCTCACGCGCCACGGCGCTCTCCATCGTCTCCCCGACCTCCATAAACCCGGCCAGCAGAGAATACCGGTTCTTGCGCCACCCGTGCTTCCTGCCAAGCAAGCAATAATCGCCACTCGTGACGAGCGTGATGACTGCAGGGTCAATGCGCGGGTACCGAATGATGGGACGCGTCTCCTCCTGGGCACAGAAAACTGTCGTTGCAATTGAAAAGGTCCAGGGAATGAGGAACTCGTGGCGAGTGGGCTGCTCAAGTATCGAGAGGCTGGAAGTGCCTACACGCCATGCCGTTATTTCTAACACACAGATGAGCCAATTGTGCGACATGTGTGGGTTGGCGACAAGGCCGTCAGTAAACCATGTACCATCGGCACAGGCTTCTCGCAAATCAGCAATTGATGGATTCTGTTTGATTTTATTTTGTGCTACACGTTAGATTTCAATGAACGAATCGTGCACACCGTTCTGCTGGGGCAAAGCGCGAAGCTGACGGCTGTCCCCTTGCCTTGATGTGTGAAATTTTCATGATAATGTGAGCAAGTCAATTCAGTTCAGTCTAGGGGCCCCCTATTTATAGATCTAATTCTTAACAATCAAATTTAGGATTAGATTTAATTCACACCGCACAACGAGCACGCTCAGATTTCCCGCTGTTGTCTACTGCCAGTCTTTCAGACCGCGGCTTGGCCACTTGCGTGAGCCTGACGAGCTCCGATTTTTACCGGATCAAGTACATATGCCCTGCAATGGATCCCCCTTCATGCTGTGGCGCATTTATTACATTGTATCAATTATCTATACGCCGTAATTATAATTATTTCCTACATCTATTAGAGATGTAGGAAATCTCCCTCTCACTCGTCTTTGGCGGAAACTCTGCCAAGACACTTTCGTATATTGCACAGGACACCATAGAATTTCTGCTTGCAATGGGAATTGCTGAGACGCAGAGCAGCACCTTCACGGCATCGCCTGGTTGGGTGATTCTGGCGTGCCCGCCCAACGTCGACTCGGTGGATTGGCCTGAGGAAAGTGAACCACATATTCGTGAACAGCCTTGAACAGACTCTGGGCGACCCACCTGCCAATTGACACACGTGTGATGACAAAACAGCTATAGAATGAATGAAAATGGCACTGTCGGCTGTCCCAAAAATAGACCAAACTGATGCTACACAATTTTGCAGCAAAGACGATAGAATTGAATGCAAAATTGTTGCTTCTTTTCCAATATTGTTCTCAATGCCAACACCCAGCTTGTTTGAAAGCTGGGTTAATGTATACAGAATGGCTTTGCAACACAGCGCAGCACAACAAAAAGGAATAGCTGCTGCGACAAAATCCCTGGTTTGATTGTGGTACACGCATCCAGAACGAATCAGGCAACAAAATCAGTCCCTTTTCCTGACATGCGCAAAATGCAGAAAACGCAACGATGGTGTCCGGTGCAAAATTTCAATAATCGCACACAGATGCAATACTTAACACAACCAATTCAGCAGCCACTCTTGGTGCCCAAATCAATGCTCAACAGGTGGTCGTTGCCACGTCCACCATTGGAGGCAAAGAGATTGCCGACCAGCGCAGATGTCTGTCACATTCAACAGCACAGTCCAGCCAGGGCAGGGATACATTTGCCACAAGCTCCAGTAAAACTTTCAGCATACAGTGGGACGTTGCTTGTCAGCTTTGCTTGCTGACACCAGTAGACATGTCTGCTGCCAGCAGACTAACAGGAATGTAGCCTAAGCTGCCACGCAGATGCCTGGTTCACTGGCCCGAAACTGTCATTTTTACAGGCATTGCATGCTGAATCATTTTCTGAGCACTTCTAAATAATGCTAATGTGCTAAAGCTGGTTTCATTTATACTGCAAAACCATGTTACAAGAGCAGTTAAATGTATCTACATATAACACTCCAAGTCGCCAATATCTTCATGCTGTATTTTACGAGTGGTCTGACTGGGATATGAATCAAACCCGAGTCTGAGCTGTGTGTACGCATCTGCAAAAGAGATTCAGCACATCTACAATCAAAGCCTAGAGCATCTCGGAAGCAAATGTTGCCTTTCTGCAGCACTCCACATTGTTGTGGCAGCACAGCATTACCAAAGAAACAGGTATGCACCAGATATTCATTTGCATTTTCAGAGACATGAGGTGCAAGTGTGCCATGTTCATGTCATGTTTTCACAACGTGGCAAGTAGTGTTTTGAATGACATAAGGGAAATACTATGTAAGCACTGCCATAGCTGTTCTCCCACCTTGCAGTTCATGCATGTGCCACAGCAACATGTTGAGAATCATGACCACCACACTGACAACACAACCGAGCCACTGAGCAACCCGCCACTACCCCTACCTGTCTTGCCACAATGGAGCTCATCCATGTGCCACACCAACAGGCCATGGGCCATCGCCAGCAGCCCAGCATCCGCTGCACTCAACTGTGGCCCCACTGACCTCAAACTCACCCACCTCCCTCCCACCACCTCCTCCACCCCTTGTGCCTCCCCTGGCTTGAGCATGCCTGCAAACACTGCGTTGCCGGAGCCCCGCTGCAGACCCATGAAAACCGTCCCCACAGCAGGGTCCAAGGAAGGCAGGTGCTGGAATGCCGGTGACAGCAGCACTGGTACAAGCGAGGGTGGGTGGCCATCGGGGGACAGGTCTTTGGGGCGTGGACTGGTGGCGTTTGGAGCCTGCTGGGCGTCCTGGACGAGGACTTGCTCGTCGAACCAGGGGATGAGTTTGGAGGAGGGTGAGTGCAGCAATGCCTGCAGGGCTTCTGTGTTGCCCCTGGGAGGCCAACAGATGCAACCTGGGTGAGTCTTTGAGTGTACTTGCCCAGGTGTAATGCCCTTGCACCTTTGCCAGGCGATGGCTGGTAAGTCCATGCCCAGAATGCAACTTGCTACTTACAGGACATACCAAAAAATGATGCACATTGCAGGATCATCTCCAGCAGTCACATCTGCAAGGGTCACTCTTGACAAAGGTGAGCAAATCCTGCTGTCCACTTGATGGAAGGGTGCTATCAGTACCGTCAATTTCCACGACAGTCTGTCCCTCAAGTGTTGTTCCTAATAACAATGTGCTATGCTACAAGAAAGTTTCAACTTGGCAACACAACTCAGGGTGTAAAGAGACTGTTCAGAGTCTTCACATTCCATCCCTGTTGCCAAATTAAATGTTGCTTCGTTCGCATCCTGTATTCATGTACCAATAGACATATGCTGCATATTTTATGCTCACAAGCAAACTCTTGCAATGGAATTGGCTGAAAAATCGATGACCACTGATGCAAAACCAAAACATATAAAGGAAGCCATGGGTGCCATTCATGTCATGGCAGAATGAGTATGAGTGTATCAGCATCTGTTGTGAAGATGGCATGGTGGAGAAAAATCGAGCTGATCTTCCTTGCTGAGCAAGTCGCACCACAAAGCACGAGCAGCAGGTTACTCGTCTGAGCTGTTAACAACATCCAGCACAATCGTATCCCAACCACCAACTTGGATCAACAACAAGATAATTCCCCACGATTTGACAGTGCCTGCGCTGCATAGCAAAACACTGCCCAACAGGTGAAAGGGCATTTGCACAAGAACAACACTCCGTTGCCACCGATACACATCCCACCTGAGATGCGCAGCGGTGTCAAGGCTGCTTCCAGAAAAGAATGGCGCCCCAACCACTGCATCCAGGTCTCTGTCTGATTCCACAGTTTCTGACACAACACTACGTGCCTCTGATAGGGAAGCACAGGTACCCAGGTGGGTCAGGTGGCTGTCGTTTCCATTGAACCCTGTGCTCATCTGGCGCCACAACGTTTGAGTTGCAGCAGTGTTGCCCACAAGCCCTCCATTCTTGGGTTGCCTTCTGCAGCAGCAGATTGCAGCCACTGGTCCTTTGTCGCAAAGCAAATGAACAACTCAGTCATTGTATTTGACTGGCATTGGACGCTGTCATATTGCAACAGCATGTGTCCATCACATCAGTGCTCCCAGGGAACAGGCTCTTACAAGTCCCAGACATGCATGCCCAGTGTAGCATGTGCCAGACCCCATCAGTCACCCTTTTACCACCCCTGCTTTCATCAAACGAACAATTGATATTCGCCAAGGTGCATATCTCCCAAACATACTCCCATAGAAGCAGAGTACTATTTTGTGTGGCACCACAGCGCCATTTGCCATTGCAAAGCCCAGCACTCGCTTTTGTTTGTTGGGCGATGTTCATGTCCCAACGTATTTGTGTCTACAGTGCATTGGTGCCCATCGACTACCATAATGCCCAAAACCCTGACCACTATCACTCACTGTTGATCGCTGCACAGCTCAGTTATAAAAAATGGTTGTTGGATTCTTCCCCAATACAGCAGGTTATGATGCAGAAGTGGCTGGTGACAGGCAGAGCTACACACAGCAGTGACGATACCAATTGCATGGAGGTCAGCAATGGGGAACTCTGCGTCACGGTGCAATCACCCAAGCCACAAATATCCAACACATCCAATTGCATTTGCCACTTGACCACAAGTCGTACATCCAAAGGTTGTTGGAAAGAGAGGGAACAACAAGAAAATTGTTTCAACATAAAAAATCTGGAACGCACCTAAAGATGCACAATCACCGAGTTGATTGTCATCTTTTGTGGGGACAATCAACCAAACAAAATGTAAAAGCACCCACGTGCATCATGTATGCTTACTTGTGGAGCCTTGTGGATAGAAATATCCACAATAGTGATACATCCCACAAGAACATATGCTTTGCGGTGGAAAACACAAGATCTAGAATTTAAGACTGATATTCCCCCTAGTTGATGCACCACAGGGCGGTTGTTTCACGCTCAGGAGTCAAGTCCCCCAACCCTGTCTGCAGAGAAGACTTCTGCAGCAACCAAAAGCAGCACACTGAATTTTGCAAGAATCCAACAAGGGTGTGCTTATCCTACTGCAATGGGACAGGTAAAATGTGCCCCGCACCTCTGGACACTGGACAGCCTGGTTCTAGAAAAGGAGGGCTGGGATGCCACAACATTAATCAGCCGAAAGTGGGTGCATAAAGGGCATTCTGAGAAAACGTTTCTCTACATGTTGCATGACCGTTGCTTCCTACAAAACCTGCTTCGCGAGACGCTCTCTGCTTGGTTCTGGGAATCATCAACTTCGGAACAGAAATGTCCATGTTGCCATTTGGGCCTGCATGTTTTGCCCTGTATTCTGACGCTTATTCGCCATCAGAAACAGCACACAACGCCAACAGCTCCATTCGGGACAATGGCAACAAAATTTGGGCGATCGCCAGAAATTTCTGAGATCTCCGCGTCGGCTCACCGTGGGCTTCTGTCTTCGCCCGCAACGGCCAAACAATGCAAAACGACGGGCGCCAACAGCCCCGTCCATTTCCCATGGCCGCAAGCACAGCATTTGGGCGCGAATCTGGGCTACCTTCCAAGCACCCAAAGGTCGCGGAGGGCGACACAAAACGCACCCACCGTCGCACAAAAGCGCACTGCAGCCGGTCGCGTGATCACGCAACGGAGCGCATGCCGCCCATCTGATGGCTGGCAGCGGCGTGGACAGGGCTGTGCGCATTCGGACGGCCAATCTTGCCCTTTCAACCGATCAGTCTTCAGATAATGCACCGGCGGCCTCCGCGCACGGCCAGTGAGCGATACACCAGTTGACAAGTTTTCTTTCCCGCTCGGAGGGGCGGCTTGGGCGCAGGGTGCTCCAGGACGACGAGGTTGGTGTCTGCCCACATGTTGCAAATGAATGGTGTTGATGGCACGATGACGATTGTTGAGAATCGTCATTGCCGTTACGGACGTAGGCAGGGTCGAGGGGTGGCGACCCCTGACTGGGGACCATAGGCTCGAGCACACGGCAACGGTTTACAGCGGAGCAAAGGGACAACAGGAATTCTGTCCCTTACGCCCAGTCCGTTCCTCACTGCGATTCTTAATGCCTCATCATCTCTTTATGCGTCCAGCTGTTAATAATTGATCAGTTCTGGTTACAGCACATTTATCAGTCCCTCCCAAGTCATTTATTCACAACGCGCAAGCGCACCCAACGGCTGGTGTGCTCTGTTTTGCTCATGTCATGGGCTATTTGGTAGCTGGAGTATCCTAACCTACATACAAACAAACTACCTAGGAGACTGTTGTTTGAGCAAAGCGACTGCGCTGAAGCTGTGTACACCAGCGCACAGGGATTTTAGGGTGGCTTAATCTCTGCACCAAACATCGCAACGTCCGAGGCGGTGTGTTGGTGGAGAGGTGTGGACCCATTCCCAGGAAACGGCCGCGGCGCCAGGTCGTCACCGCCAGCGGGCAACAACCAACGAGTCTAATGAGACGCCATCACAACAAGAATCGCATGGCCGACTTACTACAAGCCAGTTGTAAACAGTAATGATCTATCAAAGAGTGTTCACCGCGCTCCGTGGCTCGGCTTCGTGCACACTTGGCCGTCGCAATGATCATCACGATGTCGATTCCAGTGCCGTATTTATTCGGTGAGGGGAATGGGTCCAGTGCAAGCGCCATCGTCAAAATGGCATTTCCCGTTTCCTGCTAGCGAATTGCAGACGGCCTTTGGATTTTCGCCCTCAGAAAACGTGTGCGCCACACATTGTGTGGGGGACCCGCTCACGACCCTCTGGATGTTTGGTAGGCGTTGATGCAACATTGATAGACTGTTGCACCAATGCCGCGTTACAGACACCAGCTCTGACGGTTAGCGTTGATCCAAGGTTCTATCAGTGTTGCACAAAGCCTGCCAAATTTCCGGATGTGTCCCAGGATTGCACACGGGGCCGTTGATGAAGCGTTCCCGCAACACCACTTGTTTGGGGATGTTGCATCAAGATGCCTTTCAAGAGGATTGATAAACACCGACGTCAAGGAGCCATTGCTTCAATGACCCTGCAGTTCAGCAATGTTGATGATCACTGTTCCAATGAACCCTCTTGCAATAAACCCCATCAACACTGCGTCAACGCCTACCGAATTTCCAGTTGAAAAATCTGCCCATGGCCGGATTGTGACGTCCCTGTGGGGCCACACGTGGACCCGTGTCGTCGAGTGCCTAGCTGCGAGCTCACCTCTTTGTGGTGACCGCGGGTAGCGCACCTGGACAGCTGGCTCCCGCAAGAGCGGAGACGCCCATCTGTTTCAGGGTGTGGGACAGCTGCACGGCTAGGCTGGCCAGCGGACCTGTTTACAAGGATTGAAACCGAACGCATCTCTGGACATCAAGAATCAACGCAAGACAAACTACCATCCGATGGGATTTTTTTCCGCCCAGACAGCTGCACCCATGCCCACAACTGCCTTCTGCACCGCCATCAAATGCGTTCACTCCGTGCACACAAGATATGCACTTCTGTTCCGCCATTTCAACATCCCGTCCAATCCCACAATTGCGCGATATTGCACCGTGTCCCTCCAGTTCACAAGACCTTCCCAGGCACTCTGCCCCAGTGCGCGAGACTGGCGTCCACAGAGAATGTTGTCCGTGGCTTTGCACAACGGCAATGTGTCCAGCAAGGCAGGCCCACAAGTATTCTCCTGGATCGGGGATTGCTGCTGCAGGGTAGCCAAGCGACGCCGGGCCTAACCCTCAAGCGCCGATGCGCCGGAGATGATCTCGATGAGCTCCCGGGTAATGCTGGCTTGGCGGGTTCTGAGACAGGACACAACACGTTAGGGCGTGTGGTTCCCATATGATGATGATAACCTTTCCAGTGACGTGAGACAAAAAAGTGCTGCAATAGAAATACGTGCAGAAATTTGAGCCACTGGTGACCCACGCCAGAGGTAAAAGTGCGCAATTCCCTTTCACAACGAAGTCTCATCAGTGCAGAGAACCACAGCACTTGTCATGGGAATAAAGCAGGCATGAGAATGCGTCAGCGGACACCCACATCCTATTGTCCTCACATGAACTCCACTGACAGACCTGGCATCACGCTTTCATTTTTTTGGCTTCCTGCGAGCAGATGGCTCCTTCGCAAGAGACTTTCGTGACATCAATGCGCATGGATACAGGTGGACAGCGTTCTTGCCAGAAAACAGGTCACACAGAGGTAATGGATGCGACCTGTCCGTCGATGTTGGTGGACACCGTGTTGACGGGAGGAAGAGGCTGTTTCGCACCTGTTGTACATTAGCGTGAGCTGTCCCAACATCTCCGCAGCGTTCTTTGTGGAGTTTTCCATTGCCATCATCCGCGACGCGTGCTCACTGCAATTATTCTCTTGCACAGCATTGTAGAGCGTCTGTACAAGCACCAAACAGGCAATGTTCCAACGCCAAAAATCAGCAGATCTTCCTGACCACTTCACATATCTTCATTTGAACAAAAAGATTTTGGGCCCCCGGAATGGTCATCCTTATGCACAGCTTCTATTTCATGCAATGCTGTGCCAAGGATGTGATGTTTGACTTGCATTGACATGGCTCACACAAAATCTGCAAGGGATATAAGTTCAACTGAGTCCAGATTCCCAGCAACCAGGACCAATCATCTTGGCCCATAAAACCTCCTTGTGTTTGAAACTGCTTGCACTGCTGCAAACCAATGGGCATTGTAAGCAGCCTTTGGGAAGAACACGAGGCAAACAAGGCATTGAAAGAACAGTGCCTGGGACGGTCAAATTTTCAAGTTAGGCACAGCGCCACTGCCCATGGGCTGCCAGTGACATGACCAGCTATACAATGTGACACAACAAGGACAGGCCTTTAGAGCATGTGAACAAACACAGCGCCCAAATTCTTGCACACTCATCGGCCATGTGTGCCCTTCGCCTACATCTGTATTCTTGCCACAACGTGGGCAGGAAGGCACCAAACACTTTGCTCAGAGGTAAAAAGCCACTGTGTGGCCTGGCAATGCCATGCCTCAACTATGGTAATTGCTCCTGGTGCAAACAAGCACCAGACCACATCGCTGGGAGCAATGTCCAGCTGGCTTCAAATTTCTGTGACCGAACATCTACTCATTGGGAGACAAGGTCATCGTGCAGATGGGACCCACCGCTGCTAACTGGAATTCGCAGAGGTCCAGCAGCAACTCAGACCTATCAGGCCCCTCGATCTCATATGCATCCAGGTCTCCAGAGTCAAGGTTCCTCTCTAAGCTCTGACAACACACACAGAGAGCAAAGCTTAAGGAGGGCACACCATGACCGGAGTGAAAGTATGCCGCTGATTGCACCAACAAAACATAGCACCGGGCCCACATGCGTGAAGATTGTCACTCTCGCAAAGTTGTAGAGCAGCTGTGCATTTGATTCAGAAGAGTAGCAGCACCAATCATCGAGTCTAAATCCCTGTTGATGGCTTCCATTGATCGGGAGTGATAAATTTTGCATATGATATGAAAAGAGCTCAATGCCACCCAACAGTGCAAGGGCAGTGGTTGGTGATACTGGGGAAGCTGCAATATTCGTGCAGGTTTGCACAATGATCAAGGAGTTTCAGATACATAGGGCACATGCGCAGCAAAGTCTGAGCATCTGCCGAAGAAGCATCCTGCATGCCAACACTGTGAATAGAATTCTTCAATGCGATGTCTCTGCCAGTTGTTCATTCTGCACACCAAAGCCCATCTGCCCTGCAACTTGAAACAGATGTTTGACTAGAAGCACCCTTTTGGTCACACAGCATGGATGCGTACTGCCTCAACATTTACCAACAGCAACATCCACCAGTAATGTGCAGCAATAATGTGCACTATCGAATTTTATCAACGGCAAAAGTCACCACCTAGTTCTCTAGCTAAACACAATATCAATGCCAAGACTTACCACTGAGTATTATCATAGCAGACACAGTACATCACTGCACAACAATGTATATGTGTGAAAACCAATACAACTTACAAAAGGAGCTTAATATAAAAAAACTGTTTACACGATCAGCCGTGGAGTTGCCCAGCACTTCAGTTCACTCACGTCTGGCGCCAGAATGGTTGCAATCGTGGGCTTGAACGAGATTGAGTTGACGAACCGGTTGAAAATGATACGAGCCGCATCAAAGTCGGTCTTCAAGATATCATCAGCAACCTGACTGATCTGGGGCACAGTGAGCACACAATTGTAAGCAAGAAATTCTGAGGGTTCTGCACTGGCACCTTGGGAACACTATAGAAGCACACAGCTGGCAGCCAACATACCATTTTCCAATTCCTTCTGCAGCACTGCGCCAGCAGAGTTGCCAATATGCAGTCATCCAACTCCATCCATTGCTCACACTGATACCATGCAGCATGGTATGGCCAGCATGTTGTCCATGTGTGTGATTCATCAGTCAACAGTGAGTAAGTTATTGAGGCCTGGCCCCATAACCTGCAATGAACAGGCAGTTTCTTTTGCTTGGTCTCCCATTGGAATCATGTGTGGGTCCTCACCTGAGAGAAGGTGATCTTCACTTTCCCAAGATCGGCAAAAGTCATCTGTATGTTCTCTGGGAAGTCACGAGCAAGCTGCAGCTTCGCCTTCTCACCAATAACGATAACTGAACTATCTTTCCCATCTGCAAGAGCAGGCATCCAATTAATGCTGTAGTTTTCTTGCTGGAATCGCTCTCTGCTTGAGTTGAGTGTGCCCTTAACCCCCACCAGCCATTAAGAAGCACAGTTTCAGCAGGACAAGACTGCAGTGTTAAAGTACTGCCAGATGCATCCCAAATACAGATAGCACAGAACAATCAGCCTTGCAGCAGTATCTGCACAGCTCTGCAAAACCCTGGGTACTGTCCAACAACAAGCCAAATGCAGCTCAGCAAGTCTGCCCTATTAACATTGATACCATTTCCTTGGAGCTAGACAAGGCGTCACTGTTGAAAAGTGCATTGCTGAAAGGTTCAAAATTCCCAGCCACATAAGAAAACAGTGGTAAGCTAGCAGTGAAGCAGCAATAGGTAGCATCTTATACGCAGCTCATCAACGGCCCAAACACAAAACGCAGTATGTGCCACTAATTATCAAAAGTCCGTCCAAGGTATGAAGTCAACTATTCTTTTATAGTACAAAGTGCCCTGTCCCTTTGCTCAAAACAGAGTCGACACAGGGCGCTGCACCATTCACAGAATGCTTGTCCTGGCAGCAATTTACCAATATGTCTACAAAGTTGAGCTGAAACTGCTCTTTCCACCAGCAACTATCCTGGCCACAGCATCTTCTGTTGTTGCCACTGCATAGGCCTTTCGATGAAGATTTGGGCTTAGAATAGCCTGCTCGTTGGGTATGCCCAACTCAACACAAACTGAGTACCGCGCTTCGAAGTGTGCCTTTCTTGATCACCACAACTGATCTCCAGTGACTGTGGACTCCTTCCAAGAAGGTGAATTCCCCCTTGGGGTGAGATTCTCAAAAGAGATAGGAAGCTAAGGCAAAAAAACACTTTTTTTCAGCCTCACACTTGATCACCCTTCCAGTGCTTGTTGCGCTTGGGTAAAACCTCTGGCTGCTGCATCCTTGCAGCCATTTGCACCAAGGCTTACAAGGTGTGCCATGGATCCTGACATGCAAGAGCAGCAAAGGCTGGGGTACAGGCGACAGCAGACTTGTCAAGATTAACTAGAGATACACAAAATCATCGTTCAAGGGCTTTTGGTTCACTGGAAGGAAATCCTCTGTGACATTGCTCTTGTCTTGGGGTGTGTCTACACCAGCAGTGTGAGGTCGTCCTGAATTTCAAGATAAGTGATGCTATCTGAGGTCAGATCTCAGTAGGAGCATGTGCCAAGAACATTGTGAAGCTTTTCGTGTTGCTGATACTTTCATGCTGTCAATTTCTTGGGTCATCCCTTTCTGTCTTGCTTGCACTCCCAATCCCACCTGCTTGGTTCATCCTGTGCAGAACGCGTGCGTATTTCGACACCGTGCTGTTGATGCCACCACAAAGCCCCTTGTCGGTCGAAATCGGCATCGTCAGGTTCTTGTCCGCAGCCGCAGCTGGACATGCATCCACAAGAGAATCAGGCCAACGAACCAGCAATGGCATGCCTTGCTGCACCACGCAACAACAAGGAACAGTCCCGATGCAATGGATGACCTTGCACCCACAGGGCTCTTCAGTGGGTGTGCAAGGCCAAAGAAAAAACAAGCTTGCAAACCCAATGCTTTGTCCTGTGCCTGTTCAGTCCTTCAACAGAACTACAAAGCAGGCACAACAACACATGCCAACACCGAGCATACAGTTCTTCGGTGCATTCACATACACAACTGTGAATTCAAGACTACTCATTATCAGCAACTCTGAGGAATTCATTTGTCAAATACACGAGACAAACAAGCACCTGCATTTTCCAGGCGAAGACAGGCACTGAGACAAGCAGGCAACGTTTGAGAAATTTCCCAGATCTTGCTTCGCATCGTGGGAGTGTTCTTTGGGAGGTGCGGAAAGATATATGTATGTACATGCCTCGCTTCGATCAACTCAGGAGCTTCTGTTCCTCCATTCACAAGTTATTTCACTTCTATTCAATTACCATCTCTGGAACGTCAGCGGTCCACTGTAGCCAGCAACCAATGACCCAGCAATTGCAGACACTCAACCATTCATGCTGGTCAAATGTAATCCAGAGCAGGATTGTCCAGCCCAACAATAAGTGCTGTCATTTGGAGTCACTCAAGAGCAGCAATGCACACTGACATGAATCGAAACGTCTCAACCTTCCAAAGGCAACAGATTGATCAGACTGGATGGACAGCCATGATGCATGGCATGGACTTTCTGCCCTTCATCCCTAGAATCAACAATAACAACCACTGCCTGATCGATGGCCTTGGCCCAATCACCCAACCAAAGAGCTCTGTTTCCAAAGTCTTGCAAACATAATTGGGACCCACATGGCTGCCACCGGGGCCATCATTTTATGCTGCCCAACCCATCCATTTTATTACCAGCCCCATGTAGGCAACAATTTCAATGTTCAGAAATACAGCATGCCTTGTAAGGTTGGCAGAATGGCACTATGCATTCCAGCTATTTAGTGCTGAGCTTACACTCTATCTCACTTACAGCAGCGGCGGCAGCGTCTGGGACCGTCTATCAAGGTACCAAAAGGCCCCTTAAACACAGAATCAAATGAAACTCACAAAGACCAAAATGCCCACTCACCAGGCATGTCACCCAACATCCGCACAAGGGGCTTCACCATTCCTCGCGACTTCTCTGTTGCGGTCTGTGCCGATCGCATCTTGGACGCGGCAACCATCTTCATGGCCTTTGTGATCTTCTGGATGTTCTGCACAGACTTCATCCGCTGCTTGACTGCCGGGGCAACATGGAGGGGTTTGTCAGTAAGTGGGCACACCCTTGACCGTATTCCTGCTTCACTCCACAGTGTGGCATGCCTCCACCAGACCCAAAACATATGCACCACAATCCGAATGGACTACAATCTCAGTCCGCACAGTCTGCTACAAGATTATACTCAGATCACCACACTCACATCACCACACGTTGGAATCTGAGGCCCACTGGGTGTGGGCTGGCACCCTCAGCTGCCCTAAGACACGTTCTTTTGCATCATGCGCCCCACATGCGCCTTGCTTTGGGCAGTTGCGTCGGGTCCAGCCAGTTTTTGGTGTGGGGTAGCTGTTGTTGTTTGTTGCAGTGAATCCACGACTGAAAACCCAGTCGCAGGCACATGCAGAGAAAACTCCCGCAACGACAACTGCAATGCGGATGTGGCGGTTGATAGGGACAGGTCTCCCTCCACAAAGTTTCTTTGAGGTCACAATTTCCTGCCAAGTTGGAGGACTGCACATTGTTTGCCACGCTCTTCCTTGCTTTTTTAGGAAACGGATCTTCGAGTCCCCGTGTGGGGCAACTCAATACATAACCCTCCAGCAGGCCTCTCCGCACCACCCACCCGCATCCTGGGAGCCGAACCGCACGCCCCCGAGGCCTGAAGCGGGCCTGACTCCACCACAGCCACACGGCGCGATCAGACGGGCGGCAACAGACAATCGATCGGGTGCAATTCCACACCAAACAGCATCTCGCTTGTCAAGGCAAGGACAATCGCGCACAGAAGAGTTTTTTCAAGTTGTGTTCCAAGGAGAGCACACAGGCGTACAGAGGACAACATTACAGGACAACAAAGGACAGAGGACAACTCCTCTGCACAAAGTACAGAAGACAACTCCGTAAGAGGAACATTTCCAAGGAGTGTTGCATGCTAAAGGTGGGACCCCACAGATTCTAATCTCCTCCTGCAGAACACCACCAATCAATCCCTCGATCAGATATCGCAGTTTCACAGCAACTTTCGCCAACGACGCCGATCGAGGTGCGGCCCGCGGGCGGGGCCACCCACCCGCGGTCGTCGACGATGGGCGCGGCGTCCTGCAACGCCGCGGGCACGATGGCACGCGGCGCCAGCAGGCCGTTCAGGTCGCGGGAGAGCCTGGAGGTCGCCCTGCGGAGCGCCATGGCGGAGGGGCTGGCGGACGAGCGGCGGGGCCCCAGAAGGCCAACGGATGGCGACAGAGATTCAAGGGTGTTAAGTCCGGATGGGCGCTTGCCAGTGGGGCTGGGCGTCCGCTACTACTTAGTGGCGGCGTCCTCCTAACTAGTGGCGTCCCCGCGCCTGGCGCCCGCGACCGACGCGGTTAGGAACTCGTCGGGAACGGGATGGAAAGTTGCGCGCACTGAAGATTGGTTGGATTCGGACACAAGAGCGAAAACGAAGAGTACGCTAGTGGTACATTAGTGTTGTACACCAATGGTACATTAGTGTAGTACACCAGTGGTGCATTAGTGTAGTACACCAGTGGTGCATTAGTGTAGTACACTGGTGGTACATGAGTGTGGTACACTAGTGTAGGGTGTTGCCCCGTCAGACTGTGTTCGGCCTTGTTGTGTGACCTGGGAGTGAACTTTTCTCCCAGCTTGTTTCATTGCTTTTGAGACGTGGTACTTGGTTAGGGTTACACTGCCAGTTTGAAATAATGGGTGAACGAGGAAAAAGACTGGGCAGGCAGTTCCAAGGGCTACAAGTCTTCCTCAACGCCCTTAAGATTTCTAGCCCTTGTCCTAGGGACGCGTGTTAGCTCCTCTCCCTAATGTGGGGACCAAACAATGACAGGAAGAATTGCTGGATGTGGTTGGCATGTGCACATCATTGGTATTTGCAATCCAAGCCAATCAGATGTATCGAAATATTATTTCGTTATTAACGACAAAGCACAGTTTTTGTACCATTCAGGCTACAGCAGTTGGCAATTGCGTTGATCTTACAGAACTGATGTGTACGTTCACAACTATGTTGTTCCCAAATTATTGTTGTCCCACTCACAGCCGATTACTCCTTATGATTGAAATTACTGTGTATGTGTGATGAAAAAAGGAATGAAAGTCCCGAACTTTCAGAGTGATTTGGGATAGTATGCGCCATTCGCGACATATGGATGGATGGATTATGCACAATTGTCTTTTAATAAATGAAGCTGAGATATCAGAAGATGGCATCACTGTTAAGTCGTCATCAGAGAATTCCAGAGTTCTTGCATGCGGCTCAGCAACATTGGCTGATCTTAATGCCATACAGGCAAGGAGGGTGAAAATCAATGAGCTGCATTGGGGCAATCATTGCCATTGTGGCTGTGGTTCATAGCCAATGGTAAGTTTCAGACACATTTTGGACCTTCCTTGCAATAGCAACACAATGCTTGATACGCCTTGAAACTCAGTTGGCGCTGAAAACTCGGTGCATCAGGAACACGCACAAGGCAGCCAAGCATCCAGGGCAGCACTGCCACGTCAACAACAAGAAAACACCTATGTTTTTGGCAGAAAACAATAGCACGGCAACAGAGACAACCCGAGCAGCTCATTATCGTACTTGAGGCAGAAACTCCCACCACTGTAATCGTAGGCCACTACCAGAGGGCTGCATACAGTTTGTGGCTTTTTGAGAGTCCCCTGATTTCTGCTCCTCAATTTCTCATAATGTTTGTAGAGATTTTCCCAGGTGATGGATGGATGATAAGGAGCAGCTCAATAGTTTACAAGGCACATGATGCAGGTGGGTGCTGCCAACCAAAGGGCACTCCCAACATATCCAATTTCTGCCAATCTGTTATCCAGTTTCTGCCATTGGAGGCTGCTTTGATGGAGCTCGTGAGTCGTCTCAAGGCAGAATTCAAATGAATTCTCGGCGTTCACTTGCCCTGCTGTTGCAAGAGCGTTGCCCCATTAGGAATAGCCCCCAGTTCAGTTTTTCGCCACAATAGCGCCGGCTCGGGTTCACTGGCTCAGGCCCTGCATTCATTTGGCGCGATTTTCAGCTGTTTGGCACAATGGGGAACGCGCTGAAGTCTAGCTGCATGGCCAACTTTGGCCAATGTGCATCGCGCATTCCTGGACAGCCGGCGAATGCTTCCAGCACCGAATCCGCATCCGAGGCGCACCCGTGGCCTGCGAAGCTTCAAATCAACTGCTGCCGTATTGCAGTGACTGCTAAGGCCACAGCTGATGATGGAAAATATCAACGAATACTTAATATGAATACACTGCTTCGGATTTAACGTATGCCCTTCCCGTTCACCCCAGCGCTCCGCCCGACCCCCGCCTCGTTCGGAAATAATATTACAGCGTGCACCAAATCGGTGACTGCTTGCACCAAGTCACGTGCACACCATGTTCTAATCTCAGTTTTAGGGTTAGGTTTAGCTTTAGGGTGAGTTTTAGGGTAAGGTTTAGATTTAGGGCAGGTCTAGTTTTAGGTTCTAGGGTTTAGGTTGGGTTAGTTTGGACGGAGTTGGACATGGTGTGCACGTGACTTGGTGCAAGCAGTCACCGATTTGGTGCAGCCAGTAATTTTATGCTCCTCGTTCACTAGGCCGTGCCCTTGGTGATGTCGTCCGGAGGCGAGCCTTCCAATCCGCAGGCGCAGGATGAGCCCGCGGGGAACGCGACCGGGGATCCTGCCGAGGCCGCCAGCGCCGAGGTGGCGGAGATGAGCATCGGCGGCAGCGAGGGCGAGTGAGTCGGCGGGGGCGGGGAGGGGCTGTCTTGGATCGGCGCGAGGCCCCGCAATGGCCTGAAGCGCTCGTAGGCCTATTTTTGTTTTGTGCATGGTTTCTCAAGGGAAGAAAATCGCTTGGGTGTGCAGCGCCAGATGGGCACAGCTGGGATCTTGTTCTTGATTTTGATGTGGGATTTTGGACGGTGGCAGCCTGGCAATCTGTTGGAGAGGGGTTGATGGAAGAGCGTATGTGTGCCGTGCGATGTCCGGGTGCCTTCCGTGGGCAAGATGCATGGAATTAACTGAAACACAAGCCCGAGCCCCCAAAGCGGTGCACAGTTTTCTTATGCCAGTAGGGCAACAGGTTCCATGACACCAAACCGCGGAGCTCCTGAAATGCCGGCCCCCGGCTCAAGGGCTGCCCCACCAGGGAGAAAATTGCACCAGCCACGTGGGACAGCTGGCCCCTGTGGTTAGGCGATCTTTGCAGGTGTTGTGTCCTTAGACCCTGGTGACTAATGGCTGATGCCGCACAGGCTGGACGAACTCAGGCGTTTGTGGGGATCGTGTTCTGGACTTTCCGTGCGTGTTCGTATGTCTTGTGTCGCCTTCCAAATGCAAGAGAAGGTTCTTGTCACTAGGCCACAAATGCAAACCCAAGGTTGTGTGCCGGCAGCTGACACCATTGGACCATTGTAGTCTGTTCTTTCTTTTTTCCCTTGTCCTAGGGACGAGCCCTGCTGCTGTCAGGACTGTTGGCGGTGAGAAGGAACAGCAAACGATTCCACGACTCGAACCAAGACACTGGCAGTTTTAAACGGTTCCAGGCATTGCACCACAGGTGCAAGGGTGGTGCTTTAACATCAAATGCAGCGAAAGCAATTGCTATAGCTAATTTTGGGCTGATTGGCTGCGCATGCTATGGTGAAGGCTGACGCCTGAACAGACGTACGAGTTGGTTCAAAGTATTGGGGAGGAGTGCATACAGGAGGACGAGCTGAGGTTGCTGCTGCAGAAGAAGCCAGAGGTGGTGGCATATGACGGATTTGAACCCTCAGTCGGATGCACATTGTGCAGGTGCGGAGACGCGTCCAGTAGTTACCATGCAGAGCAGTGTAATCAGATGTGGAGATCATTTTCTTAGCTGAAACCAAAGTTCGTCATACGATGGGCACGATCACCAGCAAGAGTTTTGAAGCATTGTTTTGCGATCTGTTGAAAAGATGATGCACAGTCCAGTGGTAACATGGGGGGCATGGGGACATTTGGATGCTTTTGCTCTCTGTGCTTCCTTGTGGTGACTGCACCTGTAGTCTGTGGCACATGGACCTTGATGCAGTGAATGCACCTGACAACAAAGTGATGTGCATTTCTGCCGGTTGGAATACTCAGGAGATCATTCATCATATCGCTTTGTGGACAAAACTGGTGCCTTTCAGCTGTGGATCCTTGTGGCATATCCAAGCAAGTGGGCATTGGTTCAGTATTGAGTGCCTGCCCCCAACAGAACATACTGAGCTATGACCTCCACGATGCAGTGTGCTGCTTATTTTGATCTAGCCCTTGTGCATGTGTGCTTCAGGGGGTCCTGAAGGTTCTGAATGTCAACAAGCTCACCAAAGCTGGATGTACGTTCAAGTTCTGGTGAGTTTTGTGAGCTGTCCGAAGGACTGTGAGATATGGCCAGAAGTTCAGCAGCACCTGCTCCCCTTTGAGGGCGTCATCAGTCGCCTTGAGGCTGTTAGTTGGTGAAGGGAAGCAAAAATCGTTGTGAGGAAACACTTGTGAATTCAAATTATGCCTGAGCCTGGTCATTGAGTGAAGCAGCAGATATCTGTCATATTCTGGTGAATGTAGGAGTCATGGTTGCCAAGAGATATAATGAAGCACTGCCCTTACACCTTGAAGATGGTGTCAGGCGCGATGAAGGTGGACAGGCTCTATGGGAATTAACACTGATATTTTTGGCAGGGCCCAGGAGCCTCCATGCACAGATGTTGTGAAAGCTCATGTATTTCAGTCAACTGTCAAGTGACTGATGCCGGGGCATACTTGACGTTCTGGAACTCTTGCCACAATCAGAACTCTGTTTCTGTCGGGCGGGCGTCCCTAAGATATTCCCTGGGTTGACACTGGAATTGAGTGGGAAGGACACGTGTGTTGGGGACAAAGTGCATCATCGCATTCATGTTGGGAGGTGCATGTGACTAACCAGTTCTCTGTTTCATCAGGGTTGCTGATTGGTTCGCTTAGCTGAACAACAAGATGGTAGGGACCTGAAGAAGATCAGGGTTGTGGGAGAATACAAGATCGAAGTCTGGAAAGCTGTTGGAATGGCAAGTTCCTGTATGCCTCAGAGGAAATCGACAAGAGCCCAGCCGAATATTGGACACTGGTGATGGACATCGCCGTAAAAAACAACTTGAAGCGGATAATTCGCTGCTCGCAGATTATGGGGTGGGCAGAGACAGATGACCTCCCTGCCGCTCAAATTTTCTACCCATGCCTGCAGTGTCCCGACAGCTTCTTCTTGAAGGTGCACCTACCAGTTCTTCCCAACTGTGACGGTGCACTTTCACAGCCACTTCTGCAAGCTCAACAAGATCGCCGTGCACCTTGAAATGGCAGCCAAACTGTTGCTGTGGAACAAAACTTGAACACGCTTGCGATTTCCTTCTGTGTTGTCCTGGCTAGATGCTGCTGCAGTACTTTTTGCTGCACAACTTTTCCATGAGGCCATCATTCCGAAGATCAGATCATGTGTCTCTTGCTGAGATGGATTGAAGTTTTCTGTGTCTTCTTGCTAAGGATGTCATTGGTTGTATTCATGCAGTGTGGCTTGTGGTAGTGATGCTTGTTGGTGTATTGCAAAACACTGGCTGCACTGATCTTGAAAAGTCTCAGGTTTGCCTGTGTGCTCGTGGATACAGCAGTGGCAACAGTGGCTGTTATCGTATTGCAGTGGTTTGAGCTTCGAATGAATGTGTCATCGGTAAAAATACTTCTTCTGTCCCAAATTAAATGAAACAATTTGCTGCAAGGCTGAATTTGTATCGATCATTCGTTTGTTTTTTTTGAAAATGCAACTGCAGCAACTATTATACATTTCGTAATTGCTACCAAAAAATCAGAGGGAATGATTAAGTACATTGCATTTGGCAATGCAATGAACATGCAGTACTCCAGTCCAGAATTTGGTCCCTCCCAGGGGCATCCCCCGCCAGCCAAAAAATGGGTTCCTTGATCCAAGGTGACCCGACACACAAGTGCAGGCCGTTTTTCTTGACTTCAGGGCACTGGAAGGGTAGAGCGGTTGACCTCGCTCAGACTCTGTCGCAACGATCGGCGCCCATCGAGATGGACAACCGGCAGAGATGGCGCATGGCTGCCCATCTCGCCATCATGGATTGGCGGAAATCCCCGCCACTGTCCACAGCAACGCCCGGACATATCTGGGATCTACTGTTGCCAAAGACTAGCCGCTGGGATGAAATGATGGGCACAGGCTGTATCAAACTGATTGCGCTGCAGCTTGTCCTTCAATTCTCTGCCTTCTGCATGTCTGTACCTAGTACAAATGACAGTAGAGCACTTGCCAGTGTGCACGGTGCTGTTCAGCGAATTTGACAGCAGGCGCGATTTTGTTCCAGGCTGTCCAGATGGTATCAAAATGTGGAGATGGCATCCAGGAAGGCCCTGAGCAGTGTGGCGATAGCAAGGCGGAAGGTGAGGCCCGCTGCACAAAAGGCTGACTTGTTGGAGAAGGCTGACTATTCAATAAGGCCAGACCCTCTGACTGCGTAACCAGAGAGGACTGCGACAGTGCCATATGGATTCAGGCAAAAGAAGATATCTCCACATGGCGACAACAACGTGCCAGGTGAACAAACTGCTGGTTGCATTCTCAAAGCAATGATTTCGTCATTCCTACCCCATTGTGCCAGTCCTGGCATCAATTCAGCGATTCCTGTTTGCTTTGTGGCCATAGCACTGGATGTGACAACAGTTTTCTTGTATTGTATGATGCAGGGGATGGTGAGCAGTTGGCTCTTGACAGGCATAACAGCAGTGGCTGCATTGGCCATGATTGGGGCAATCATCTTGCAGCAGAGGCAAAGCTAGGTCCATCAGCGGTTCCCCATGGTGAGCCTTGTTCCTGGTCTTTGGGATGGCTGGGATCTTCAACACCTAAACCCAACTTGACATTTGCAGATGTGTTTCATGCAATTACTTGTTCTGGAGCAGGGTGCCTCTCATTGCAAATGTTGTCAAGCAGTTTCTGGAACAGTCACCCATGTTTTTAGCCCCAGGGCCACACGGTGGTACTAGCCACCCTCCCCTCAGTGCACAGACTCCAACGAGGCACAGGGAAACGAGAGGCAACAGCCCTGCCATGAAAATCTATTTCGCAAGACCACAGCAGGGATTTTCATGGCCTTGTCTTGTGCTGTGCCGTGGCACCCAAACGGGGGTCTACAGGTATAGCAAGTGCGCGTGCGGCTGGTGTGAGCGGACTGCCAGCAGCCGGAACATGAGGTTGCTGGACATCACAGCTATTTCAATCTGCCCACTGATAAATGTGGTGATTGCCATGTTGGCATCTACGATTACTGCTTTTTTCTTTTCTTCGGTGCTTGCATATAGCCTGTGTAAATGAATATTGCTCGCAGTACACCACCCATGAGTCTAGGCAGCAACCCCAAAAGGCACCTGAGCGAAATATTACAACAATGTATCCAAGAATCCATGAATGACAGCTGTCGGGATCCAGGGTGGTCGCTAGATATCAGAGCCGGACAGCCGTCTGCGGGTTGTCTATGTCCAGCCCCGTTCCACTCTGTTACAATCCCCTATCACCTAAGACTTGTACCGCTGGCCTCCATGGCTGCCGACAGACAGACCATTTGCACCAAGCGTGGTGGCTTCATTGTGCACAATGGCGCTCTGACCATGTTTGGGCCACCGCGCGCGCCAAACGCAAACCGTCGGCAGCGCTGTCGGCCGTCCATGTATCCAACATGATGACGTCCGCCCTGGGCCTTCTCGAGATGAGAAGGGCACCACCTCGGGGCCACCGGCGAGAGCCTGGATGACCACGCGCACAGGCGCACGTGTCCAGTCTCGACCGCCTAGGTGTGCATGGGAAGGATTGGAACTGCAATCCAAGTCCCCTCCCCGAAGGGGGGGCTCACAGCTCTGGCATCGAGCCCCCCGGGCAGACAAAACGCCAAGGCCTGCGCGAACTGCGAGCACAGCACCTCATGTGTTCCTCCCCAAGGACTCATTGCGTAACCAGCATAAAAATGGTGGGCTTCATTGCACCTATTGGCGCTCCGCCCCCATCCCGACGGCCGCGCGCGCCAGACAAGGAAGTCGGCTGCACTTTTGGCCGTCCATCTGTCCAATCCGATGACGCCCGCCCTGGCCCTTCCCAGCGCGGAAAGGGTGCCACCCCAAGGCCACCGTCGAGAGCCTGTGTCGATTCCACTGGAAACGCCACGTCTCGATCGACGGTGCAAAGTGCGGGGATTAGGGCTGCGCCCCACGTCCCCTCCTCGAGGGGGAGGCCCGCGGCTTTGGCTGCGAGACCCCCCGGGCAGGCAGAAGAGTGTAGGTCGACGAGACGACGTCTGAAGCTTCGCTGCACCCATCTCGGCCTCGCTGCTGTGCTTTTGAAGATGGCCGAGCTCCTGGCAGGAACGAAGAGGTGCAGCATCGTATGCTGCATCAATTGGCACACGGCGTAGCAGTGCGTGTGCTCCTTGGATTGGTGGTTGCTTGGCTGGCGGCGCTGGCTGCTGGACTCGCCGGCCAGATGACCCGTGAACATCGACGCCTGATCCATCCCCGTCGTGGCGTGAGGTGCCCGTTCTCTGCAAGTTTACAAAGGTTTTCAGCCACCTGAAGTGGAAAGGACATCCATGAATGTTGCATCGGAACACTAGGGTCTCTGCTACATTGCGTGCTGTTGCTCCCTGCCTCGTAAATTTTCCATGAACGCCTGAGAAACGCGAACAACGCCACATCTCTCTCTGACACTTTGGCTTGCACGTAATACGCTCTCCACAGACATTTTTCAATAATTGTGTGTTGCACATAAATGTATAGCTTGTCGCTGACTCGCCTGATAAATTCACCACATCAGGTGTATGAGAAGTCCGATGGCTTGGCGCCGTCCAGCCTGTTTCGACGGGAAAATTGGTCGTCCTGTCTCGATATATAGCCGATTTTAGTCAGATGTGCACAAAACTGCTCTCCGGAGGATGATGTCCAAATCTTGCGGCCAGACAGAATAACACCTCCTTTGTGGACACTGAGCTTCGGCGGAGGTCGTCTCCAACGCGCTCATCCCCCCTGGGAACCAGCAATAAATTGTGACGGCATCATTGCTCCCATTGGAACTCCGCCCCCGTTCGGACGGCCATGCGCGCCAGACATGGACTGTCGGCAGCGCTCTTGGCCGTCCATCCAATCCGAGCACGCCCGCCCTGGCCCTTCCCAACGTGGAAAGGGTGCCACCCCAAGGCCACCGTCGAGAGCCTGTGTCGATTCCACTGGAAACGCCGCGTCTCGATCGACGGTGCAAAGTGCGGGGATTAGGGCTGCGCCCCAAATCCCCTCCTCGAGGGGGAGGCCCGCGGCTTTGGCTGCGAGACCCCCCGGGCAGGCAGAAGATTGTCGATGGCTGAAGTGACGCCTGAAGCTTTGCTGATCAGAGGACCCATGAGCATCGACGCCTGGTCCTGTGCCAGATCACGAAGCTTATAAGCGCCTGACGCTCGACGGACAGGCTTGTTATTTGCGCCGTAAACACAGATCGTATTTACGTTTTTACACGCAAACATAGTTTTTAGGTTTACATGCATAAAAACGCGTAAAAATACGTAAACACAGCGTGAATACAGCCTCTTTTATATAAGGACAGTACACGCAGCCTTCGAGTGTCGGGAGAAGCAGCCAGACGCGCTGTAATGGGCAGGAAACGAACTTTTGTTCCACGCCGTCGTGGCCCTTACCGAGTGCGAAGTCGACGCTGTATTGCAGATGCTCGAGGGGTGGAGTACTGATCATTGTGCGCTACGTTTATGTACTACCTCTGTGTCACAACGAGCCGTAAAAACGTAAACGCAGCCGTAAAAAACAAGCCTGCCCATGCCTGTCCACAGGCATTTCAGTCAAATATGAGCTGCAGATGAAGTATGGCTTGTGGGTGACTCACCCAGTCGATGCACTACATTAGGTGCTCGGAGATGTACCAAGGCTGATGCTGTCCATCCCGCTTCTTTGTCTTGAAGCCAATGCCGGTCAGATATGACCATTCCTTCTCTCCCGAGGATGATTTCCAGATCTTGCTTGCCCTCGCCTGACCTGGGCACATGTGGGCATGTGGGGTGAGGATTGTCTACTTTGCTGTTGGTCCATTGAGTCAGGGATGGCATTGTGCCGTGGCATGAGGGTCATCTAGGGGGTCGCCTAAGTTTTATCGAACGTTGGTCAAAACGGCAACTGCATTGAAGGGATAGGCACAGGATTTTGCCTTACCTCTCTTTGTGCTTCGCGGTCTTGAGCAGCTATACAGCGCCGTTGTCGAAAGGAAACTCAAACCTGGCAGAACAACAGGCAACAGTGGATAAGGGGCGACGCCGTTGGAGACTCAAATAGGATGGCGTCTGTGGCGCCCGTGAAGTGTGCGCCCATCTCAGAAACACTTGCCACTCATGATTTGCTCGTATAAATACGGATAACGTCACACGACATTATTCGCGTGCAAGTGCGCGTCGAAAAATGCTCTTTGCAGCCCTGCAATGGAACGTCTAATAAGAGCGGGCGAATCTGTAACGGGATGCATCCAAGCGACTTTGCACGTCGCAACTCTTGACAGCACGGCGGTGACCATTGTCGGACGGATGTTGCTGCCAATGTCAGTTTCCGCGCAGTTTGTGTGCAGTGATGTGTCCATGCCCGTGAGTTGATACCAGATTCTCTGCAACTCCAAACAGCTAATTCATTTGCCGACGCCAAATGGCGTCGCATCGCTATGGCACACAAAACAGGTAGGATATGAGGGGAATTGCCAGACGCCCCGCTGCAGCTTACCAAGCTTGTTGCTGTCTTCCATGATGCACCCGAGGCGGTCCCCAGCCGTGATGAGGAGCCTCAACTGCTTGCCCTCCTCCACCGTGCTGTTGCTGTTGTGGCGGATGGCAGCATTTTCCACCAACACACAAGCTGCGGAATCCGCAAACATTTGGAGGCCGTGGACAAGGGGCAGAAGTTCGCCTGCTGGGTGCCAAACTCACGCGCCGCTCTGCCCCCGATGGAATATTTCCCAGCGCGTTGTGGGAAACAAGGGCGAGCAGGAGCGAAGGGTGCACCATTCATCCCTTTCAAGTGACGCCTCCAATTCCACACACACACACACACACACGCAAACACACACCGCCGGACACCCTGGCCCCAATGCAGCCCCCCAGTCCAACGCCCGCCTACCCGCCTACCCGGCTGCCCGCCTGCCCTCATGACAAACAGAATAAAAAATAAGAAAAGACGTCCACAGCTACCCGGCGTCCCGGTGATGGCCCCATGCATTGCGGCCCACGACGCGAGTCGTCACTTCGCGGGCACCG